TAGCAGTGTAACGTTAACTTAAATCCGTCTGTATTTATAAGTGATTTTAAGTATTCTTCGTTCTAAAATACTTTGTATTGTTAGTGAATAGGTACAAATGACACCATAAACTCAATTACCTGGGTCGGCAAATAGAACTATATTGCGTTGCGTACCCAAAGGCAGGCCCACTAATATAAAAAATAAATAAAAATAAATAATAAACGCAACTTAGGAACAGGAAAAGGAACAAAAAAATAAAATCATAATAAAAAGGGATATCTGCATGTTTATTTACAATTCGTTCTCTAATAATAATTATTTGATTATTATCGAAGGAAAAATTAGCCACTTCCGCGCTACATCCCCTGATTATCCACATAATGAATTTAAAACTTGTTAATTATTAACTTGTATTACACAAGCACCTAATACGCTAAATTAAAACATAAAATACCCATTATTGTAGAGTTAGCTCTCAGCTAGTGCCTGCTAGTACCAGCTAATACCAGCTAGTAACAGCTAATACCAGCCAGTACCAGCTAATATCCATACCAGCTAATAACAGTTAAATATTACATTAAATCATTAAAATCAAACGTTATCTATAGTAGTTTCACCGACACAAACATTATGAATAAAAATAGGAAACAATCACAGTGGATAAAGTAAAATGAGCGCACAGGGGGGAGGGACAGACAGAAAGACGACCGCGGGGTGTCGCATAACGCCACTACGACGCTAACTATGCGTCACACAGTATTTGTACATTACATCGGTCCACCATATTCAATAACATAATAAATTATTGTCAATGTTTCTCTAACATCTCTTTTAATCGAGTAATTTTTTTTTACAATTTCACTAAATCGTCGTCGTGCTGTGGTGAAACCAACACTTAACTAAATATACATAAACGGGGCATGATTCCATCCAGCTTGGCGAAATTCTATTTATACACATGTTCAAATTTTTATTGCAACAACCCAAAATTTACAAGATTCGTCTAAATATTGAGTAAAATCACAGTATAAGCGTATGGACCGTTGTTTGTGCAATGCATGCTGAACGAATATGCCATGCACCGTGCCCCATTAACTCACTAAGCAACTCTGTTCCCACATCGACATTATATAGTTTTCAACTTTCAAGTGTATAATATTTTTGGATTATACTCGGGTTAATGTTCTTCAGTGAACACTAATATGGACCTTTTTGTACAATAGTTATATTAATTTTTATTAGATATTATACATCTTGTTTCTCACTGGGGTAGGCAGCGACTACACTCGCTACTCTCCTGATAATAGCTTCCCTTTACTCGCATCAGTCTTTGCTAAAATCTCCTACCCCAATGAGAGACAGGCATAATAATATATTTGACTCTATTTTGCTATACATATTACGGTATATAACATTCGATGCGGGAGCAACAAAAGAAATACAAATACAACAAAAATGATATCGATTTTCAATTAATTGTAAGCTGTAATATTTAAAAAATATGTATTAAAAATACGTTAACATTCCATCAGTTAATACGCTTAAAAATAAACCCCAAAACTCCGAAAAAAATATCTTATAGTAAAGAATCGACGAGTCGCGGTTAAATACTTTCGAGACATGACGAATGCCATTTGACTTACTGTTTACAAGATACAATATTCACAATCATCTAGTCTAATCTCATTATTCCTATACAAGTTGTCCAGTTATTTATTATGTAGTTCCCTTTGTTTTCTAGGGTTCTAAGAATTATCATAGTAGCGGTCATACATTGTTATCAAAGAACTTTTGCTGAATGTTTATCAATCCAGCTCATTAAGAATAACTTGTAATTTTTTTTACTCTTTGTTTTCCATAATTGACATAATATATAGATCGAAATTGTACAAAAGTAGGTTTGTTTATTTCCAAATGTGGAACAATGCTTACTTAAATAAACAGGACCAATTTAAGAGGAATAACGGGACGAAGGTATTCACCGCGATCAACATTTAAAAAAGAGGCTACAATAGTGCGGTCTGCAGGAGACAGGGGGTTGCTAGATCTCCGTGAACAGAAGTGTACTGTAATGCTAGAACTCCGTGAACAGAAGTGCACTATAAAGAGATCATTGACTAAAGCCTCGAGGACTATCATACGTTACTACGCTAAATGAAACTTTGATAATGTGCCTTTATACTCGATTTTGGAGAGGACAGAAGGACGATTATGTTTTTAGGTAATAATGTGGTAAATGTAGATTTATAATTATATAGACCTACTAGTGCCAAAGTAATTAACACTCAAGGGGTTTGTACCTAGGTCAGATAAACCTAGAGCTTAAAATTTTCAGAAAAAACCAGAACCCAGCATTGAGAAGGATAAAGCGTCGCATAACAGGTACTCTAGATAAAGTTATGCTTGTCATAACTGTAATCCATTATTATAAGTATGAAACACAAAATCAAAGGCAAATTATCGAAAGTTCATGCAAAGTGAGCATTGCATACAAAAAGCTGACATTAAATGAAATAAGAACTTTTTTCTGTCATTCTAAGTCAATCTCTAATTTAATGGCAGTAGTAATGAGTTTTGACAGCAATATTACGGTGTCGGTTTGTCGCTACAAAAATGCTTTAAATTTCTGCAACATGGTAAGAGTACATAATATATCACATTCTAGATTATAAATATAAAGAATACAAGCAATGTATAAAAATTAACTTCAAAAGACAAAAAGTTTAAAGTTAACTTTGGCAGAAGCAAGTGATTAACTAATTAATTTCAATTACAAAATACACGCACTTGGTAATAGAGTCATTAGTAATGACGGGTTTAACTATTAAACAGAAGAATCATTATAATTTACTAACAAGTAATTGTAATAATTTTTTTAATCGACGTCGGTGATAAGAAGTATTTGGCAGCAGTAAAGCTCCGTGTGAAAGGGTTCGTCCAGGGAAGTACTGCCACCTTAACTATTTCCGCCGCCAAGCAGTAATGTCAGCATTACTGCGATTACTGTGGGGATTATTTTTGCATGAAATACATCAAGCATGTGATCTGGTAAAATACAACTTAACACGGACCAGTTTTTAGCAGAAAATTGACGCGTATAATGTTAGCGTTTTGTATGCAACTCTTTAACGCAGTGAAATTAAAATAATAATAATGCACACTTAATAGTATGAAATCGTTTAACTAAATTAGATATTATTGTCAGGCAGCAAAGCTAAATGTACTAAACATTTTTCGAACCATTGTTATTAGTATTTAAACTGAACACTTTGTTATTAGTTCCATGGACTATGCAAGACCTATATTCAGCACTGGAAGTTTCTCCTAAGGCCGTATAAGTCCCTCCGATGAGTATTAATCTCCATGGAACTAATAACTAAAAACATGCATACTTGGGCATAGGATTCGAGTGGATCCATTGATCCAAGATTTAAAAGTAAATAAAAATATTAAAAACGACTTGTCATAATGCTTGATAAAAAATCGGGAAATTATACGACTGTGTAAAATAAACAAATTGATTACGAAAACAAGCAAGAATAAAATAAATCTTACACTAAAATTATATATAAACTAATAAGCAGAAATCGGGTAGGTAGAGTGCTGCGTGGGGCCGATAATCGACATTTAAGGCCCATCACACGCCAAAACATAAAGGTGTACATCACATCCTATTCAGCACCAAAGAAGGTCTGGACATAGGGGGTTATCACACGAATAATGGCGCCCAGTGTAAGAAAAGTAAGCAATAAGACAGCCCAAATAAAAGTGCAAGATATTTTAAATTTAGATTTTGACTGAAGAAATTTGTAAAGCCCTAATTACGTTACCTTTATCTCCGCTTTAGTGGTGATTTATAACGGATGATAATCTAGGCAGGTCACGTTGTTCAATATGAAGTTTAGTCTTGCACAATTATAAAAAATCAAAGAATAGTAAGAATACATTTCCAATTTTCCACAATATCTAAACTTCTACGGTACTCATTTTTCTGCGTGATTAATAATGTATAACAAGATGTAACAATTGGTACACTTGATATCAAATTTGATTATGTCAAGCTGTTGGCTCTAAATATTCTTTCAAAAATTTCTTTAAAATAAATTACACAAAATAAGAAAAAAAAAACAACCAGAACTATGCAAAACAATTCTCAAAATATGTTAGTGTAAAAACTTACGTAATATTTATTTAGGAAATTACCGCAGCGACATCTACACATAAAGGTGGAACTACAACAGCGCACATTCTTACCACACATACCAAAGTTCGGGTACGCAATATCGGCGCTTCCATTTCTACCAATCAGAGATCGCTATTTTGTCATAAACATTGACTCTAGTGACCAAATAGGGAATGGAGGCAGAAACAGAGCGGTGCCGAAATTGCGTGGCTAAATATCGGTGCAATGTAGCACTTTACGCTTGACGCTATTTCTGACAGTCAATTAAGAAAGAATTAAAAAATATACAGGAGCCGAAATTATATATGGAAAATATTGTAGCCTAAAGCGACAAATAAACATAATTGTAACTTATCGACATATTTTGAACGCTATGTGAATGGATTTACTATTTATTAAGATTTTTTTTAAATAGAAAATGAAGCCAAATGCTAGCAGTCAATACAAGCTTATAAAAAAGAGCAGTGCAATGTGTGACCTGCCTTAAACGGCGCAAAGCAGGGAGTAGCGTCTTTCACCTACCCCAAAATAGAACTAAATAGGATTGCAGTCATAAAATAATTGCATTAAATTGTATAATCGCACGAAACGATCGGTTAATAATTTTGTTCTATCTAAATGTGAAAATACATGCATTAAAACACTTTTTTTTAACTATTAGTGTGTACTAAAACGTTTATAAAACTCTTAATATATATTTTTTATTTATTTTAATATAACGCTACAGCTACTCCAGTAGTCCTTCACCGCGCCCTACACATACTTTATCTACATAATAATAATAATAATAATAATAAACTCCCATTAAAATGAATATAGTTATAAACACAGCATAAATGTTTTGTTTGTTTTGTTATAAACTCGCGGACGACCGCACTTAAACTACGTGATATGGAACGTAACATAAAACGTATTTTAAATCTCATACCTAAAGCAAACTGTTATACTACATACAAGTTAAAATCAAACTGTAATTGACAAAATCACCGTCACATAGAACTAAAATACCTATAAATAATAACTTTCTTAGCGTTAGATCATACATGTACATAATAATGCATTAAGTATGCGGTTATATTAACATATCGCTCGTACATGTAACGCTCGGTCACGACGCGGGGCGCTGTGCACGCGCCTCGCGCCGCGTCGATAAGAATACACCCCCAATATTAAAACATTTGGTACAAACACTAATAACTACGATAAAATATTAGTAAATGCAACCTACTCGCTTCGCTTTCGCAGCAAAAAATCATAATAAAATTAACTCGAAATTTACAATCCATATGATACAAGTAAACAAATGAACTTTTGTCAGCCCTGCCTACCTGTCGTAGGCATGATAAAAATACATTAGAAAATCAATTGTAACCTATTTAATAATTGCCGAAAGGCGCGAGCTCGTACACTCGTGAGCTCAAGTTGATTAAACATATTTTATATTTAAGTTATAAACATCGATTCACATACTATGCGACTACACTCGGTAGGTCGTGTACATTTTGAAAATAATTTAAAAATATCCTAAACGAAACATTCAATTTGTACAGTCGTATAGAATATAACACCGAGCTCGTTCGCTGCGATGTAACAATTAATCATTAAGGAACTGCAAAATACACGTAACGAAACACACTAGTCAGAGTTTTGATTTAAAAATTGCAGTGTGAAGAGTCGGTCGAATTTTTGCTTCCCCGGCACGGCGGCTCCGGCGCCCTTACCGGCGGCGGCGACGCGGTAAGGTCGCCGAGCGCGCCTCGACGTCGCCGACGCGGCCCGATTCAACGGATGGTAGAGGGTACATTTTTGGATGCGCTACCTCGGGAGGACTTCAACCGAAGCAGCGGGCGGTTCACAGCCAGGGGGCTGGCGGCGCGGCGCATCAGTCGGTGTACCACAGGTGCTGCGGGTGCTGGTGCGCGTGCGCGTGGTGCGCGGGGTGCGCGGCGTGCGGGTGCACCAGGTACGTGGGCGAGTACGGCTGCAGGTACTGCGGCAGGCGCGCGCCGCTGCCGTGGTGCGCGGGAGGGGGGCCGGCCACGCCCACGCCGGCCACCGAGCCCACGCCGCCCACGCCGCCGCTGAGGACGCGACACGCGGTTAGTGTTTGATAACACGGGACTTGCTTACAATAATCACTTTTCATACAAAACGCACTAAGCCACGTCACTACCTAGCTCTTAACACTCAGTATGAAAAGTAACTTTAGGGTGTGAACTGGCAATCGATACTATCTCAATTTTGACAACTTTACAGGTGAAGAAAAAATTGTTTACGTCATTTATATAGCATCTGGTTTATTAAATAAATAAACGTAGTTTTTAAATATTTTTATTACACATGTGTTTATGTACACTACGTATTTTTATTTAATAAACCAGATGCTATAGAACAATTTTTTTCCTCATCCTGTAAAATTGCCAATATTGAGATAGTACCGGTTGCCGGTTCACAGTCGATATCCATTACACAACGCCAGAATCAATTAATTGTTTTCTATAGGAACAACAAATTTGGTTGCCAACAGTCCGTGAAACATAAATAGCAAATACTGTTGTTCAATTGCCTCCTTGGCCGAACGGTTACCATGCTGAACTGCCACGCAGAGATCCTGGGTTCGATTTCCGGACCAAGACAAATATTTGTATTGCCCACATTCTTTTTACATCTTTTTCATCATCACATATTTTTCTTGTCAATTTGGGTGAAATTTGTGGTTGTCTAAGTGTGTCCATAGCAGACAACAATATTTTCTCGCCTAATGTAAACCTTGTTGAAGTAAGTCCAATGTGTACTCACGTATGGTAATGGTATGTAGGTACGTAGAGCGGTGGCGGCAAGTAGCCCGGCGACACGCCGCCACCCGGCGACAACACTCCTCCGCTGCTCGTCCTGCCACAAGTACAAAACATAAATAACTATATACTTACTATACTTCATAACTATAATTCATATCACATAGCTGATTCCGGTGACGTTTGACATTTGAAGTTTTTAGAGATGTGGTGATGTAAAATCTAATGTAAAAAACGATTTAAATATCTTATCAAAATAAATTGCAACGAAGAGAGAATCGATTTAGAGAAAATAATTTAATAACAAATAACAGACAAAATAAAAAGGATTCCATTATTACGTTATAAAAAAATTAACAACAACTAAACAAAAAGTCAACAACAAAGCAAAAAATGAACAGCAATGACACGAAATTTGAACAATTACTCCAAAAACATCACACAAAGCTCAAAACAAAAGTTAACTACACACATACAAGGTGTATGCACTCGTATTGAGGAGATATACACAATAGCCTATTCGATTTATCGATTGTATGGTTTAAATCTATGGATAAAATATTCCGTTTTACTCATCAAGTAATTGGGGTAATTTACTTTTTTCTTTATCATTTTATTTTCTTTCTACTATTATATTAATACTACAATTTTTACTAAAAATTAGAACTGCAACAAATATTGTATATTTTTGGTATATTATGACAAACTTACTATTTATTTTTATAATCTGGTTGAGAGATTAGTTAGTAATAGTATGCCTACAACGTAAATGTCACAGAACTCATCCTATGTGAAATGAACTAGAGAAGTCTTTGGAAACATTTGTGCCACCAGATGGCCCCACTTTTGAGAAAGATCTCATAAAAACCCATTCCAACGGTTTGCACTGTGGACGCTGGATGAGCAATTGTCTCGGTTTTGATTCCCGTTAGGACAAATTTGGGAAATGTCTTTTCTAAATTGGTTTTGGCTTGAGTTTGAGCTTCCGTTGCGGCAGCACATCTAGCTACACATTGACAGATCTTGCTTCGTTGTACTTGAGGCGATATTCGAACAAGAGTGTATAGCTTGATGTGCTGTTGACTGTACATATACTACAAGCAACTCTTCAGCACGTGACCAGATAATTGGTGTGGCTGTCAGGTACATTGTTATAGGTGTACCAGAATGTCATGGCGTTATATAATAGAAAAATCGAACTATTTTCGAACTACTTACTTGGCAACGTTAACTTGTCATATATTAATTCAAAATATTACTTGATCAAATGGTTGTCTGCTAAACTTTTTTCACTTCAAAATAACAATTTTGTAGCAATAATTACTAAGAATCCGCTTCTATCTCAAGCAAAAAACATTATAACAATGTTTATAGCAAAATCAGCTACGAATTAGGTGCATCTAAGTCACAATTCACGATTTAGAAGCGGGTCTCAAATAGGAGTAAATAGACTTGATCTTTGAAATTTTAACGAAGTCAAATTCTTGGTACTGTCGGCAAGACTCGGCAGTGTGTCGAAAAAGGTAAAAAAAAGAAAAGATAAATAGCGTAAATGCGAGTTACTGGAAACTGCAAACGTAAATAAATCTATCACCCAATCAATGTAATTGATTTTTTTTTTCATTACAAAATGTGTCTTATTTTCTCACACACAAATTCATACAGATCTTACAACATGTACGAGGAGAGATCAATTCTGGCCACTACAAATTTAAATTTGTCGAAATACCACCAGATTGTGGTAAACCTATATAATTATGAATAATCCCGCTAAACAAACGTAAGCTCCATTATGCAGCAAATATTAATAAATATTATCTGACCAACAGTAAATCAAACGGTTATTATATTACATTTGAATGAATTTCCCGTAATGAATCTATTTTCAACACAGAACTTAACATTTGCTACGTTAAGAGAAATAGGAAACATTTTAAATTATTTATATATACGAACACTGTATTTAATTTTGTCTTTGAGTGTCTCGTGTGCTTCAATAAATATTTCTAAATATGTCCTTTTTAGAACATTACAATAATTGAAACGGACTTACTTGTAGTGCGGGTGCGGGTGGTGGTGCCACGCGTGCGGCGCTGGTTGCGGCGCGGCGTGCTTGTGCGCCGCAGGAGGTCCCACGGCGCTCACGGGGTTAACGGCGCTTACGGCGTTTACTGCGCTTACGCCGTTCGATGACATGTAGTCTCGGCAACCACCGCTCTATAAAACAAGGTTTAAAATAGTTAATCTAGTTTCTCGCCATTGCTGCACATTGGTAGTGAAACTACTTTTTTTTATCAGTCAATCGTGATCAAGGGACTTGTAAAGAGCCGAAACGTTTTTTTAAAAAAAAACAACGAAGAAATAGATTTCTCATAGATGGCGCTACGGCAAAAAAGTCGTTACAAGACAAAAACAAAGATCTGCAACAGGCATATAGAATAATTCGTAACGCTGATTCGAATCTGTTGTAGAAAAAAATCGACCTCAAAAGTACGTGGATTTACATATAGGTAATTACCAAGTTTTATTGAAATCGGTCATCGGAAAGTGCGCAAACCCGGATTCATCCCCTAGTTCGCCACTATACGGGACTTGACACAGGAGATAATAAAAATCGGTTGTCACTACTCAAAGTATTTTGAGAGAGAAAAACCCCTTGAATTGGAGAACAGCAAAATCAACCATTAAAATAATTTCTCCTTATAATAAAATTTAGGCGCTATTTATAAAAATTAATGTTCATGCGTTAAGAGCCACCCTTAGAGGTGGATGGATGATTTTCTTCAAAATTAAATAGGACCACTATGGAGGTACCCTCTTTCCAACAAAAAAAGAATCACGAAAATTAGATAAGTTCGAATAACCACATCGCACAAGGAACCAAATACCGTCTAACTCAAAATTGTGAAATTGAGAAAATACAATTTAAAAATTTAAAAAAACCGTGAAAGGATCTTATCGCGAATAATGTGATTATTTTTATTTATACATACTAAATTATCCATTTATAAACGATAATTCGGAACTAATACGAATCGAACGTAGTCCGTAAACGTACTTTGTATTTGATGTTACATATGATATATATATAACATAACATACGTATATATAATATATACAATATATATAAAATTACTAATTACGGATTATATTACGCCTATTTTTATTATTATCGGAAACAGTGCAAACAGTTGACTATTATATGTGACCGCGCTCACATGAATAAAATAGAAAATAATATTAAGTTTGACGCGGGAGCATTTTGGTATCATATAAAGGCAAACAGACAATCAAACGACCCGTCTACGTTCGGTGGGTCCAGCTCGCAGGATGTAGCTGACGAATTTGCGACGTTCTTTAAAAGCGTATACTTAACATCGACACCCTTATTGAATCCTAATGATGCTTTCGATGCGGTAGCTGCTTTACCCTCCACATCGTCACGGTGGTTGACCGATCTAAATATTGCGATGAGCCTAGTAACAGAATCTGATGTTTGCTCTGCAATGAAACAATTAAAGCCTAAATTGACCCAAGGCCCTGACGGTATTCCACAGGTAATAGTTAGGGATTGCAGGGAAGTATTTTCAAGTCCCCTAGTTCACATTATTAATTTGTCCTTAAAACAAAATACATATCCTAGTCTCTGGAAAACTTCAAAAGTTATACCTATACATAAATCAGGATTAAAATCTGAAATAAAGAATTATCGTGCAGTGGCTGTGTTATCCGTCTTCGCAAAAGTTATGGAAACCGTTTTGTACAGGTCAATTTATAATCAACTTAGGGGGTGGTTCTGTGACCAACAGCACGGATTTTTGCCAGGCCGCTCTACCGCTTCCAATTTGATCAATATCACCACCACCATTGCTAATGAGTTGGACTCTAGAAAGCAGGTCGACGTAGCTTACCTGGATTTCCAGAAAGCTTTCGATCGAATTGACTGTGACGTTCTACTTCAGAAATTAATCTTTACCGGTTTCTCTAAAAAATTAGCCACATTTTTTGCTGACTATTTTACCGGCCGTCAGCAGTACGTATGTTACAACCGTTGTCAATCCACACTCTACACAGTAAACTCAGGTGTGGGCAAGGGAAGTTGCCTGGGAACGCTCATGTTCTTAATTGTGGTTAACGACTTACCACAAACTATCCAGCATAGCAAGTGCCTTATGTTCGCAGATGATGTGAAATTGGCTCTGACTATTAGGTCCGAAGCTGACTGTGAGCATCTCCAAAAAGATATAGACAACGTACTTAAATAATAATAATAATAATAATAATAATAATGTTTATTGTCACAAAATAGTACAACATTATAATGAAGTCCCTGACTCCAGAGCTAGGTTACAAACCTGCGTGACTGGAGGCAGTGTCCTCTCTCAAATTTTGACAAATTTAGTCTATTTCATTACAATAGGTACAAACAAAAGATTAAAATATGGTAGGTAAACTATCTAACTTAACATTTCCATGCACATTGTAAAGTTTATATATATATATATAGTGTGTGTGTGTGTGTGTGTGTGTGTGTGTGTGTGCGCGCGCGCGCGCGCGCGCGTGTGTGTGTGTGTTTGTGTGTGTGTTGTGATAAAATTGAAATTTGCAAAACAAAATAAATAAACACTTCAGAAGCCACTACCGCAATAACGCTTCGGTTTCATCGTAGTCTAAAGTTAATATCCAATTCTTAATTTTTAATTTAGCTTCATAAGCAGGTAATGGATATATGTTTAGAGTTTTATTAGTTTTATTGTACAGGTATGAAGGCATAAACAGTAGCTGTCGTCTTGCCCAAGCTGTGCGGCATTTAACGAAAGAACACACATTAGTTCGGGTGCGCTTCTCATTATAGCTGTCTTTATTAAATGGGGTGGTGATAACAGTTTAACCTTAAATGCCGACAAATGCACCATTATGTCATTTGCTCGAACTCGCAAACAAATAGGCAATGTCTACAAAATAAAAGACTCTCAGATCAGGAGGGCTACATCTGTCAAGGATTTAGGTGCTTGGTTCGATACTAAGCTGAATTTTGGTGAACATATCTCAAAATTAAGTAAATCTTCACGTAAATGTCTAAGTTTCATCTTAAGACAATCAAAGTCCTTCAAAGATAACCGCACATCTTGCCTTTTATTTAATGCTTTCGTTCGTAGTAAGTTGGAAAGTAATAGCATAATTTGGAATCCCGTTCATCACAGCCACATATTGGCCTTAGAAAAAATTCAAAAATCATTTGTCCGTAATCTCTATAAAAGAACATATGGTTATTACCCCCTGCTTTATCCCACTACCTTCATCTTGGGTATGGTCAACTACAGAACATTGGAAGTGAGACGCAATTTGGCTCTGGTGACTTATGTATTTCGTTTAATCCGTGGAATCTCGTATAACTCGGAAATGTTGTCGATGATAGGTTTTCTGGTGCCCAGAGCTAATTTGGTGCGAACTCACAGAAAGACTTTATTTGCAGTGCATGCTACACGATCAAAGATAAGTGAGTTGGCCCCACTCCCAAGAGCGCTTAAATATCTTAACCAGATGCTTCTCTTTGACTCCTCATTGGATATATTTACATGCTCGGAGCATGGATTCGTAGTTTTCGCGGGACGGTGTCTTGAAACTTTGACCGGAGACAGCAGTATTGTGTAACTTGAGATAAATTGACTCATTGGTAATGATACTTTGTTCCTTTTTACAGTAAAATAAATAGGATAATAATAATGTTATTGCAATGTAATTGATTCTATATAGGTAATTATTCAATTTTGTTTAATTTATTAGTTCATTGTGTTTTTTAATTCTATTATTTTTGTATAAATATTTAAATACCACCTATTTTTCTACTTGCTATTGCGTTTGGATATCTATCTGTAAGCAATATGTAAATAAATATGTGATATATGTATAGGCCCTATTCATTTAGTCCTCCTGACATATCGTCTCTTTTGTCATAAAGGGATGTAACTCCGAAAAAGTGACATAAAAAAAAATTACTTTACACAAAATTGTAAATTATGCTTATAAATGTTGAAACCGGCTATACGAAACATAAATAAACCTGAAATGTAGGCAATTAATTATGTAAAAAAAAAACAACTTACGCTATCTCTCTTATTTTGTTGCGGTGGCACATACTGATTGCACTGGTAATCGTTCGTCTGGCGTACTGTGGACCCGCTCTGCAATAACATACAAGCGTTAGGTTTATTTTTTCTAAATCTAGACGTCGTATCTGCGTTATATTTATTTTGCCCAGTAAGGAGCCACCTTTATCTGTTGCGTTTAGCAGGTCTTCGCGGATGCAGCTGGTCGAACACAGTGAGGGGGATCCGCAAACACAATAGTTTTGAGTCGGACTGATAGTGCGTAGTGTATATACGTTCTATTTCTAATATGTAATTGTAATATAATTTTGTAATCTCATTTTTCTTAATTTTATTTTATTTTATTCTTTTGTTAGTATTTTGTTTTTCTTTATTTAATCAGTTTGACTTGTAAGCACTTTGGTACTGTAAATGTAAGCTTTCAAGTGTTTTCAATAAATACATGCAACAACAGAATTACATCCTCCCTTCCAAAGGTTACTTGTCTTACATAGTGTGTGGGCGGGTGCTCTTGGCTGGGCTCCTGTTTGGCCTGTGCCTCCTGCTGTGCGAGAGCCAATAGCCGCTTCTTTTGGCTCTGCGGCGTCGCCTGTGCCTGCGTCTGCGTTTGTGTCTGCGCCTGGACTTGCGTTTGCGTCTGTGCAACGACATTCGCGCGTGATGTTGACGGCTGCTGAGGTTGTGCTTGTTGCTATATAGTGCAATATGAAAGGTTAAGTACTGTTTATTAAAAAATGGACCCATTTTAAGGACAAAACAGTCCTTACTCGAAAATATGCAATTATTTATCCCTTTCATTTCAAAATATATTTAGCAAGTAGGAAATTGTTAAGACGTCTGTAATCAATTTTAAACCTCCTATAATACACAATTGTTAATAATCCTTCACGGGGAGCGCGTAATTCGTTTTTTATTGATTCAGAAAAAAATACACTTTTTCAGTTAATACTTTTTAATTATTTTTAGTTAATTAATATGTATGTATTTATTTGATGGCCACCGTGGTCAAGTGGCTTACACACCGGTTCCATGGTGTCGCCATCTCTGAGGTCCCGGGTTCAATCCCTGGCCGGGTCAATGTAGAAACTAGCTTTTCTATAGTCGGGTCTGAGTGTTTGAGGTACCGTCGTTATTTCCGATTTCCATAACACAAGTGCTTTAGTTACTTAGTTTGAGATCGGAGCAACGTACATACGTTAATATTAAACAACATCACATGATGTTGTTTAATATTTCTGTGGCTGTAATGAAAAGGGATACGAATAAAAAACCCAACTTCACAAGGAGACGCGAAAAACAGTTAAAGATTAATATGATATTAAGCGTTAAGTATTTTTCGTGTTTCCTTGTAAAGTTGGGTTTTTTTACTTGTAGGTACCCCTTTTCACTAGAGCCACAGATTTATTTTTGTTATTTATTACACAGTATACTCTTATCATCGAGGTCATAACATTGTCCCTTTTTTCTCGTTTTATAATTTGTTACCTGTTCTCGAGTAATTCTGCATTTCGACTGTGAACTGGCAACCGATACTATCTCAAATTTGACAACTTTACATTGACTTTGCAGGTGAATACAAAAATTGATTGCGTCATTTATATAGCATCTGATTTATAAAATAAAAATACGTAGTTTTTAAATATTTTTATTACACATACACTACGTATTTTTGTTTAAAAAACCAGATGCTGTATAAACGACGGAAACAATTTTTTTCTTCACCTGTAAAGTCAATGTAAAGTTGACAAAATTGAGATAGTACCGGTTGCCAGTTCACAGTCGATTTGTTTTATAATAAAAATTGAAGCTTTTTGATTACACTCACCGTGTGGTGGTGGTGGCAGGGCTGGTGCGGCTCGCGCTTCACGTGTCTGTCGTCGCGAGGACTGCGCGCGCTGCAGATCACGCCTGCGCACTCGCCGCTTCCGACTACGCACCGGACTTGTATCAATACAATTATAAAATGTAGTCCTAACCTCCTAAGGCACCGTGTACATAATATGTGAAGTGGTTCAGACCCAGACAATTGTTCCTAAAACGCCCAGTGCACGTTAAATGAACAGTAGCAGCAGAGCTCCACGTGAAAGAGTTCGTCCAAGTACTGCCGCCATCACCTTTCCTATTTCGAAGGGTAGGGGTGCTGGTGAAAATTCAGGCACGTGGTACTTTTCAACTTATCGTCTCAGGGTAATGGGCGCACTGACAATGTCCCTCACATATTAACGATTTAAAGCTCTGAGTGGCACTGCAACTGTTATGGACAGGCATGTCGTTTAGCATCAGGCGCACGACTTGTTCGTCCCATCACTTTGTATTATATAAAAAAATATAATTCGAATTTAAATTTAGCGCTATTAATACAATATATCCATAGAGTATATAGAAAAATAAAAATCTCGGTTGCGTTTTTGCTTGGGCCTAAATCATGTAATTGTATTTAATACATTTTGAAGTACACCGGGCGTTAAGCGTTTTTTCCATTGTAGTTTGCTATCGTAGGATAAAAGGCTAAATCCAAATCCACGATTACACAACTAACTTTTGTGTTGGAAATACCACTCAAGTCACAATTCACTCTCGTTATCAGTCCGATTACTTATTTGACAGTAGTTGTTTCGGACGGAGAGCAGAAACATAAGTTCATAATTACATAATAAACAGTTTTGGGTTAAAGTTTTGCTGAAACTTTTCAGTTACGATTAGATTAACTGAAAGTTTAACAAGAAAGTACCTCTGCTATTCGACGGCTGCGTGTTGTTGCGTCGCGGAGCATCGGCGTCGTCGTCGGAGTCCGAGATGGTGATGACGGAAACGGCAGGTGACGGCGTGTCGCGGATGGTGATTGTATGCGCTGCGCCGGCGGTGCTTGAGCCTGCGCCACTCTCCCACGTCGTGTTGCTTGGGCGGGAGTTACTGGAATGTCAAGTTGTCATTCTAACTCAAATATTTCATTAAGGCGAGTCATCAGAGGAGAAGCGGGAAAGACTGTTTTGCTAGATCACATATTACTATTAAACTATTAAAATAACGGTCTTATTATTATTATTTATGTACAGAAGGAGACAAACGACCAGACGAGCCACTTGATGGGACGAGGTCATCGTCGCCCATGGACATTTGGAACATCAGATGAATTGCCTATATTTACACGCTTTTTGAAGAACCCCATGACATAGCGCAAAGGAAATACTTCAAGAGGAAGATCATTCCACATCTTGCAGGTTCGAGGAACGAATAATCGAACGAATCTTATAATAAATATACGATACACCTAAAGATAATTCGACCCCTCCTACGTAAAGTATCGTATGTCGAAATTGTCAAATTTACTGGGGATCGTTTTAAAGTTCTCCGTTTTATTCGGCAAAGCTTGTTACTCACATAGAGTGATCATCTAATAGATCATCTAACCGAAATGTAGGATTTTATAACACTCTATGTGAGTAACGAACTTCGCCGAATAAAACTGAGAAATGCTAAAGTCACGTGTTATGCTTATTTCAGTGAATTCAGAATTTTAAAAGGCTCCCCTGTACACTTGACAATTTCGACATACGATACTTTACGTAGGAGGGGTTGTATTGTCTGAAGAATGTGCTAATTCGTATGTATAGGATAACTTTCCTATACATACGAATACCCGATCATATAAAATCCCGAAAACAGGTTAAAATTAAAATCTAAAACGAATTATTAAAAATAAAATATGTAACTTTGTACATAATTTGAATACGGAAATAGATCTCTTTAAGTACTACAGAGAACCTGCAAAATCTTGGTTTTTAACTGAAGCCCCTATAGTTATTAAATCTGCCTACCCCAACTTTTAACTGCCGAACGGTTACCATTCCGGACTGACACGCAGAGGTCCCAGGTTTAATTCCCGGGCAGGGAGAAATATTTCGGAATTTCTCGGAGTTTGGGTGTAATTTGTGGTTGTCTATGTGTGTATCCATGGCACCCGCGACACAGGGTATCCCTAGTGCGGGGCTATGTTAAGTGTGTGCGTGTGTGTGTGTTAAAACATCGGATTTGATGTTGACAGGCACTCTTAACTCTGTCTGTTATTATTTTATTCATAAAAATAAAAACAGACAGAAATTTAAACGCACGAATTGTGGGAAGCGAGACCCACGTCACCTAAAATCTAGGCTCGCGTTAAATACCGCGTAAAAAACTCAACTTTTCTTGGAGTTACAAACAAATTATTAAAGTCAACCAATGTTGGCTAGTCCATCATGGCATTTAACTATTTTATTCATGAACAGCAGGCAATGCCTGCATATCAATTAAAACACCTGGGTATGAATACCTTGTAAGTAGCATAACACAATGAGCAATAGCCGCTTAATTGTCGCTGAAGGAACAATGGGTGATAATAATTCAAATTAAAAAATTATTTATCGCTTAATTTTGCAGGTTCCATTGAGGATTAGTGGACATTGACACACAGAAATACAAATAAATAATATATATGTAGAAGTCTAAATAAATATGTAGTCTAAATAAATATGAAGTATAAATAAATATGTAGAAGTCGGTTACTATTAATAAATTTTTTGAACACAAAAACAATAAATTGACGCTGGTAGTATTGGGTTAGCTGTAAGCGGTACACGCAGTCGAGAAGATCCTGAAAACTGCCTGAGCACGTCTTTGCTTATCGCGCATCTCCCTTTAAAACTAGATAGTTTGTTTGTTAGATAACTGACTGAACATTTTTCATTGTAGTACATGAATATGTTCACATAAACACATTGTATTAATTTTGATAAATTGATAACCGTAGAAATTTAAAAATAAAATGTTTAATAACACCTTGTTTACCGTGGGATGGAATTAGAGATCAAAAATGTAAACAAAGGTTATAACTATATAAAACAATCCTGCAAATGTCAAAATTCCAAAAAAAAAAACTGATTTGTGTGAAGAGTAATTCAATTTTGGTCTACAATGCACCTTTGTGCAGTGTCCTGATTTTAAATTTATCATTCGATTTTGAAGCAATATTCATTAGATTTTCAAAATTACAATGCTATCGTTATAAATTTATGCAAAAACTATACACGATTACCCTTCCTTGGCTTTCTTAATTCCAGATTTTTAAGACAACTGCATAAAGTTTAAATTTATTATATATATTATATTAGTAGCGTAGAGCTCTTTGTGAAAGAATTCGTATAGGGAAATACTGCCACGATACCTATTCCCGCCGCCAATGCGAGCATAATTGAGTTCCGAGTTTGAAGGTGCTAGTGAAATAACAAGCACATGAGACTTGTCAACTTACGTCTCAAGGTGACAGGCGCAGTGGAGTGTCCCTCAGATCTTTGCGATTTAAAGCTTTAAATGACACTACAACTGCTATGGACAGGCGTGTCAGTTAACACCAGGCGCACTTGATATTATAAAAAACAATTTAAATATGACTCACTTATGATCATGATGATGATGCCTGTGCCTCGAAGGCGGAGTCCCTTCCTTGACGCGTTTCTTAACGGGCGACAGTTGCGTTGGCTCCTTCTTACCGCCACTACCGGTCATACTGTAGACAAAATGATGTTGTCAGTGTTGCTGGCTTTTGACATCGCAACGGCGGTGAGGTTAGACACAACCGTGTACATTTTATATATTTTGTGTGTGTTCGTTGCCGATGTGAATTCCATGCCGTTTTGTAAGTATGAATAACGTTCTACTACAATTGACTGCCAACTGCGCTGACAGTCGAACAAATGAAGACTGCTGCGCGACTGACGCTCTGTATGCGATTTTAACGCCCTATAGGTGCGGACACTTTAGCGCGAACCCGACGTCCATTTGTTAGTAGGTCAATGTTTAAAAGTAACTGAGTCATATCTAGTGCGCAACACTGACCAAACATATATCCGTGATTATTTTAACCAATGGAAAGCTCGGTATTTTATTCACAAGGAAATTTAGCACATTCAGAGTACAAGTGTGTAATACGTCAAAAAATATACTGTTTTGTTCATTATCTCAAAAAGCAGCGAGTTGTTTAAATGGCAGCATTGTCTAAACGTTTAACAGATAATTAAATAAAAACAGTTACATAAGTGGTAACACTGTCCGTAAATTTGGCAAATAATTAGACAGAAAGTTGTTTAAATATCAATGATGACCAAAATTTTGCCAGATAATTAAATAGAAACAGTTAATTAAACAGTAACGCTGTTCAAAAGTTTCACAGGTATATCCAATTACCTTGAATAGTTGTTACATAGCAACACTGCTATAAATTTCACAGATGATTCGATAGAAACAGTTGTTTAAATGACAACACTGTCCAAAATTTTGGCAGATAATTATTAGGAACAGTGGTTAAACAGCAACACAGAGACGAAATTATGCACCAAGCTATCTTTTGCCTTACGCGGTGAGTTTGCTGGAAGAAAATGATTAATGCCATTGGGGACTTCGATGGTTCTAACACGGTGATGCCTTTGGCGGTCATACGCGACACTAAAACTGCACTATAACATTTATGTGTGAAACCGACCGCTTGCAAGTTGTTTACGATGTTTTTCTTCAAGGCTATAAGAACTGATAATAATAATCAAAACTGTGAACTGTAAACAAAACCAAGTTTTACCATCTACATAGGTTCCCTAAGTTTTTGGCTCACCGCCCCCTTAGGCAAGATAAAAAAAATTGAATGCCGACCACCACAAAAAAATATTGAAAACACGTATTTTTTGATATTAACTTGACACAAAAAATGACAAGGAAAAATTGCTGTCAATTATTTCAGAGGCCTCTAGGACTCTTCAGCGCCCACTGGGGGCGGTAGGGTCCACTTTGGAAAACTATGGTCTACTATCTCTGCAATGACTTTAAGAGTCTATCTACTAGAAAATTCGTTCGGCAAATTGTTGTATCGCCTCTAGTGGATACAAGAACTAAAATTTGCCATAGACATATTTTACGCAAGCACTTGACTACAACACCGTAAATTTACGCAGAGGTTTTGTAGAGTATCGACCCATATACATCCCACTACTGGCCACAGGTTTTAACTGGCCTTATAATAGCTTGGGCAATCGAAATGAGAATAATATCCTTCACGAGACGACGTCGTGGACGTTTAAGGCGGTATGGTTTCAGGAGCGCAGAAACAAAAAATAAACTTTGGAAGCAATGGATTCCGCGATCAAGAGTCGATCTCTCAACCTGAAATGGCTTTGGTTGTTACTGCATAACAGCGAAAGTGTTGAATCAATCGCTTTGGAAAAATATATAGTAAAATTGAGGATGTACACTGATTACCATAAGGTGTGAAAACAAGATTCCTAAAAATTCTCACATTGAGAAAAAACACAAACTTACCTCGAAATTATACAAGAAACTGCTGTATTCAATAGGTACTTTATATATTTAATTTTTGTTAAATAAACTGAACTAAATGGAACACGAATACTATACGACATACATTTTTCAAATTGATTAATTTAATTGTAAAAAAATTAATTCGGAAATAAAGCCAGTATTATTACTACGGAAAAAAATTGTATTCGAGCTGAGGTAGTATCGATTCTTAACAGTATAAATTATGTTAACCCGTTCATGGACAGTACTTGAACAGTACCGCATACAAAAATGTCACTATAGTCTATGTTTTTTGAAGATGGAGTAAAATGACTGTTCATTCCGTCAAAAGTGTTGCCCGCTTGCGAGCAGCTAGTGATTGCAGTCGATAAATATTAGGGGTTAAAGTATGAAATTGCCGTTTTATTGCAATAGGTTCTTTGAATTTTCATAGAATCTTCATGGTTTGAGGTTTTCGAATGAAACTTTTTTCAAATGGTTTCTGTGATTTTTTTTTTTAATTTGAAACATTTGAATATCGACTTTCAATTGTTTTTGTTATTCAATTTAGACAAGAAAGATGGATACTGCGAAAATTCGAGTGATTTTTGAATACGAGTTCCGACGCGGAACTAACGCAGCAGAAACAGCCCGCAATATCAATGCTGCATTTGGAGAGGGGTCTACTAATGAACGCACCGTGCGATTTTGGTTTAAACGGTTTCGTGATGGAAATTTCGACTTAAAGAACGAGCCACGAGGAAGACCGCCCACACAGGCGAATAACGATGAATTAAGAGAGATAGTGGAAGCCGATCCTAGTCAAACTACCCAGGAATTAGCGGCATGGTTTAACGTTACCTTACCCACAATATTGACTCACTTGCGTCAAATCAATAAAATAAAAAAATACGAAAAATGGGTGCCTCATGATTTGACTGATCTGCAGAAAGAAACGCGTGTTGAAACTTGTGTTGCCTTGTTGAACCGGTACAGAAATGAAGGAATATTGGATCGAATTGTAACATGTGATGAAAAGTGGATTCTTTATGATAACCGGAAAAGAAAAATGCAATGGCTGACCCCAGGTCAAATGCCACAACAGTGTCCTAAAGCAAAACTTACCAATAAAAAGGTAATGGTAACTGTTTGGTGGTCTCAGCATGGTGTTATTCACTATAGTTTTCTCCGATCTGGTCAAGCAATAACGGCAGATGTCTATTGTGCCGAACTCCGAACCATGTTGACAAAACTAGCAGTAAAACAGCCCCGACTCATGAATCGATCTTCACCATTATTGCTCCACGACAACGCGAGACCTCACACAGCACGAGAAACCATTTTGACCCTTCAGGAACTGCAGTTAGAAACCATTCGTCATCCTCCGTATTCACCAGACCTTGCTCCAACGGACTACCATTTTTTTCGTGATTTGGACAATTATCTACGTGACAAGAAGTTTTCTTCCCAGGAGGCAGTACAAAATGCTTTCACACAGTTTGTGCAGTCTAGATCGTCGGAGTTCTATCGCAAAGGCATTAATAACCTTCCCATTTAATGGCAGCAATGTATAGATAATAATGGCAACTATTTTGATTAAATAAATTTGTTAAAAATTTAAAAAATAAACAATTTAGATTTTCAGTACAAATCGGCAATTTCATACTTTAACCCCTATTATTATATCCACTACCGACTGAATGTTGGTTTCGCTCATGCAATAAATATCAGGACTTGTTTCATTTGAATCATATGGCCCATAATTCGTCCAACTGCTGGGTACAGGCTCATTTAGATTGTGAATTTTTGAAAATTCATACATACATACACTACATTTAGAATTATGTCTATTAAAAATACAAATAGGAAACATAATTCAAGGTTATAGTTTTAATTTAATATATATATAATCAAATCCGGCTGTTGTTATTAAAATGTGTATGAATGTAAATTGATTTAGATACTAATGGGCCAACTGTCAAAATAAGAATAAAGAATACAATAACGGAATTAGTAATCATTAGAACGTCGTAATATTCAATTTTACCGTCTTTCATAATCTATCGATAAAACTGTCGCCAACTAACTAACTACATGACTATTTACAATTTTATTGGCAAATGTCATTTTACTCTGCCTTCAAAAAAGACAGACTATACTTTTGTTTGTGCTGTAGTGCTTATATTGATTCAATATAAAATGTTCAAGGTAAATCATTGAACTTTGTTAGTAAGTTGTTGACACTTCTCTATGGAGAAGCAGTAGGCGGCAACTACACAGAAAGCACTTGGAAATTTTTTGAAATCCATCCAGACATTCTGATATTTAAATTCAATTTAAACGCCGTTACTGTTCATGAACGGGTTTAATTAATATAGTATAGCAACAACAAATCGCGTCACATACTTATTACTAAAAATAAAAGCCGTGCGATAATGCGGAGTTTTATCTGTTGATGAACTTGTTATGACATGTAGAAATGTTAATAAATATTAGTTTGTGAAGTTAATCATAAAATTGAAAACCAAATAAAAATGTACGTGTACTGTCCTATTTACATAGTAAACAAAGATAACTGGTTTTTAAAACAGCATCATAATGCACTATGTGAAATTTATACAGGTATATTTTGTCATATTCTAGGTTAATTAGGGGTGAAAAACATTTCCCAACAAATGGGCTAAGTAAAGAGGCAGTTAGCACCTGTATTGATGCGTTTGGTGCTGCGGCTGGTAGTGCGCCGGCGCGCCCGCCTGCTGCTTTGTTGATCTGTCGACAACCCACCGATTATATTATACATTGAACCGTTAATGGTGGTACACGTTTCATATTTCACATATTCTGAAAACTATTTTAACTACTCTATAAACTATATTTCCTATATATGTTACAAATTATTCTTTCGAATATAAGCGAAATTTCACACAAGTAATCATTTTCACCATTTCTTAAACACGCGGCTTCTATTTTTCACCCTGTATTTGGCTATTCCATTATTGTATATCATTATCCATCTATCACATATACAGGAAGAATTTTTGGTCACCAGTCAAATTTATTTGGCATTAGGTATTATTCAAATTACACCTAACATTTTACTTAAAGTACCAGATATTTGAGATTTTTTATACTCGAAATTTTTCACGAAAACAGTTTACGTCGAGTCACTTCCAGTTACTGGTTGCTTGGTTAGAAACATGTAAAACAAAAATTCGACTTTAATACGTGAGTTATCCGGTAGTTTAGCTAATATGTCATAGCGGTCATAGCTCACACGACCGAGGAACAAGAAATGGTAAGGCGACTGACCTCTTGTGCGAGTTGAGGTGTGTCGAGTGCGTAGGGTGCACGGCGGGGTGCGGGTGCGGCTGGTGGGAGTGGAAATCCCACACCGCGTCTCCCAGTCCTGCCGGTTCCACGGCGATGATCGGCGCGCGCCATTCGCCCATGTCGCTGACGCCCACGCCCACGCCGCCGACGCCCACGCCGCCCACGCCCACGCCGGCCGCGTGCTGGTGATGCGCAGCAGCGGCGGCCGCGGCTGCTGCCGCCAGTTGCTGCACCTGCAATTCCAGTAAGTATTTCCAGTAAGCAAAACATATAAGGCGTTAGCGGGACGATCTTGATATGTTAAAGGGTGGTGGGAAATAGCCTTCTACCAGCAATGGGATACAATTAGTTAATAAAAGAAACATGCATGTAAGTGCCAAATATGAATGTCTGAACTTAAAAGTCTAAAAAAAAAATTTAAGTGTAATTATGCTCATAGTAGCTGTTCCTGGGTCGTGGCACTCACTTTTCTTACTTTCATTAACATCTGAAACAATCGTCTGGTGAAAATCTTATCCCAGTAAATTTAAAAAAAATATCACATACGTGCGAAATAAAAATTAAAAATGTCTCCTTTCCGCTTCTTAACAAATATCACTCAACGGTTAAGCTACGATCGTAGAGATCGTAAATACAGTGCAGAATCTGGATAATTTGTAATATCCGATGATTATAATCTATTCGCATTAAGCGCTTTGCTTCCTCCTTTCTGATGCGTACGGCAAAGGAATTTGGTGCTATTCAAGGCTAGAGTGAATAGGTATACAATTTTATGTAAGAATACATTTTTTAGGCAAACGCGTCCCATTGTCGGTCACATCGTCACTTAACATCAGGTGAGTTTGTGGCCAAGCGTGAGTCTATTATATCTATAAAAAAATATATATTAACACAGGAGAGCTTGACATGCATCTCGGATTAGTGATACGTAATAGACACCGGCATTAGAGGTGTTATACGAAGTTAAAAGTGATAACTGAATATACTGACTTGGTAAGCAGGCTGGCAGAGTATGGAGGAAACGAATTGGTGCGGGAATGGTTCTGCAGCGCGAGTGGTGTACTGCCGCGCGCTACCCACAGCCACACGACCGCCTTGGTACAGCTGATACTGAAAAAAAAATCAAACAATAGTATTTAAAAAGTTCTTTGAAAAGTCTCTAATTTAATAACCTAGATACTCTGAGAAGGGATGATCCGAATTTTCCAAGAGATGTGCCGGTAGCTCCGGTCGAGATTATTTAATTTAATTTAGTAATGAGTTTTAAATTTTAGACTAGAGTCATTTTGCAGTTCTGACAGTAGCCTACAGACATGTATATAAAGCTAGTGCTAATTTAGGATCGTATTCCAGAACTCTACTCAATGCTCAAGTCAGGACTTGAGTACTGCAGTGAGCACTAAAAATCATACTCAAGGCCTTGCCATTATGGTCGTATTTCCAGTGCTTGCAATCATACTTAAGTCTGCCCAAGTCAGGATTTGAGTATGGTTTAAACCACTCGAAATCATACTCAAGTCTCTGCCATTAGGGTCGTATTTCCAGTGCTTGTGTTTCCAGTGCTCAAGTCAGGATTTGAGCAGACTTGAGTATGATTTCAAGCACTGGGAATACGACCCTAATGGCAAGGACTTGAGTATGATTTCGAGTGCTTTAAACCATACTCAAATCCTGACTTGAGCATTGAGTAGAGTTCTAGAATACGACCCTTAGAGTTGATACAACCTCAGCTTGAATTAAAATGTTTCCCGATCTCAATTGGTTCTATTGCGGTCGAGCGGCAGGGGCAATCAATGGCTTTATTTCAGAATTTAATTTTTACAAACGAATTTAAAGCCATTTGAAAATACATATACTACATGTGTTCTATTTAGTTCAGATGTTATATAAAAACCATTAGTATATCGTCGCCTTACTTTCTCAAACTCGTACCTTAAAAGACAAAGTAACTGAAATGCAAAAAAATGCATTGTATATGTACAAACAATGCATTTTTTGCATTTTAGTATGTATATTTGCAGGATGATTTCACTGGCTTTTACCTATTCTTAAAGTAATGAATCCAAATTAAAACCATTGATAAGAAATTTAAAATAAATAGAAAAGTTTTGCCATCTCCTGAATAATCACACTTTACGCTTCAGAAAGTAAGGCGTCGATATATGTAAAGTACCTATTGAATCGGGTTTCTTGTAAAATTTCGACGCAAGTCTGTATTTTTTTTCTATAGTGAAAATTTTTAGGAACCGTGTTTTCACACCATATACTACTCTGTGCACGTCCTCAATTTTACTATATACTTTGTCCAAAGTGATTGACTCAACACCTTCACTGTTATGCGGAATCAACCAAAGCCATTTGAGGTTCGGTTCGAGATCGAAAGGTTTAGTTAGACTCTTAATAACAATAATAAAATTGTCTCCTTACCAGGTTATCATAAGGCGCAGCTCTCAACCTCTGCTGATTGATAGTCAAGGCAAGATGATGTGCAGACGGCGGCGCGGCTGGTGCAACCACACTGCCCACATAGTCACCCCCCGCAGGCACCCCCACCCCAACGCCCCCCACTCCCCCTACGCCGCTACTGCCAGAGCGGCGACACACCTCCATCATCTGCACGGATGCCTTCACGTTGTTGCAATGCGCGTAATCGACGAGGTGAGCGAGTGTCACGAACGCGTGGTTCAAAGCTTCGCCGGGAGTTATTCGTCTCTCCTGAAAAGGAACATATTATTATGATATTTATTAGAAATATATCAGTCAGTGAAGCCGAAATCGTGCAAAATAGCTGCGCTTGTGTTGAATATTTTGTTAAATAATATTCAGCACAAGCGCAGCTATTTTGCATGGAGTAGCAAATTAATTTACTTACATTTATATTGACATGGCCTGCCGCAAAGTAATGCCTGAATCTATTAATTACTCAAAGTCTACTAGTACAACAGACCGTTGATAATGGAAGTAAAAATTTTAACTGGCTTTTTCTGATAATAAGATAAATATAGACGGATGTTTGTATTCATTGATAACTTATCAGTTAATCTGGCCACTTATTTTATTAATTAATCCGATTCAAACGTACACATCTCTCTACGTTCTTTGAGTGCTATTTTATTGCTTTATCTTTTACTACCTTTCCTTAATTACCTACGTGAGTTATGCTGAACGAGCATAACTCACGTAGATGAGCTGAGTAATACGTCAGATGAGAAATTTTACGCATGATGCTATTTTTCTCATAGCGTTTAGCTACAAAGGTTACTAAGAAACATTACATGCAGTAAAATACAATACAAATATTCTTTTTAGTCCTTTTGTTTCATTTATATATTGTTTTTCTTTACAACTTAAGTCATAGGTCAAAAGTATATAACAAACCAGCTTCAGTGGTAGCACGAGTAACATTTTTTTAAATTTTTTAGCTTCCTGCTCTTTAATAACAAATGTGGCAACATTGTACTTAGTTTGAAGTTAGGTGATGCCACTTTTAACGAATACTATTCAGAAGAAAAAGAGTGACATATTTATACGGCATATTTGCCGTTTTTGAGTTTTGTCATTGTTGTAGCCAATGATCGAACAAAAGTTGTTGTTTACGATGTTAGTAACATAATCCTGCGAGGTTGTTAGTCTTATAAATAACCCTGATTTAGTACACAATTTTGTAATGACAACATACCTGGTCCATAGTGAGCATTCTCTTCAATAAATCGATGAATTCCCTTCTGTCTGCTTTCTCGGCCATGAGTTGGCCGCCTTCAAGATCAGTTGGCACGTTTACCTGTAAATAAGAAATATTTATTTGGCTTTTAACTTTCTCGTTTAATCCAACTTAAAATGTGAAAACATGGTCTGGTCTGGTGTTATCAGTGCCTAGGAGTGAATTGCGCTGTTCTGGTACTCATAAACATCTTCAAATGTAAGCATATGCCAATTTTGTTCCATCAAATTGTATATTTATATAAAAAAAGGTGGACATACGACAATTAGTCGCTATGAACTATATCTTATCTTATGAACTATATAATCCTTTTCCCTGTAGTTCATAAGTATTGTAAGTATTTAAAATATGTCCAGTTACTTCCCTACTGACTATGTATGGATTATTGGTATGTACAAAATTATATAAAATTTGATTATCTCACTTGTCCGATGTCGTCGAGACAGTTGAAGATGTACTTGCGAGCCTCCTTGCTCTTGATGCCGGTCTCGAGTTCGTGCTCCTCGGGGGTCTTCAGCCGCCAGAACGGGTACGTGCTGTCCACATCGCGGTAGAAGAACTTGGCCGTCTTCGATGCACTGCACAATTTCACACTATTATTAGTGTGGTAATATGTATAATTTGATAAACATCATGACATTAATGCGAATACATCATAGGACACGGTGATCACAAGCCCGTGAATGCCTCTACCACAAATTTACTTCACAATTTTGTATGGCAAATTATACACCACTTCTAGCAGTCACGAGAAGAAACAACATTTTGTATACAAACATTTTACGCGGTCGCTAGCGATAACTCTCATTGTAATCTCATGGTAGAGGCAACGTAACTACTACAGTTACCGTTTTTTCGATGACGTATCTCAAATAAGTGACTCGTGATATCGAATGCGTAGTAAACTGCAGCAAAATGTAACTCACTATCGATTGTTTCGATAGATTTTTTACCTATCGAAAACTATAGGGACTCACTGTAGCTATCATGGGTTATATCGATAGACTTAGATTTATTTTTTTATCAGAACAAACAGTTACAAACTAAACAAATGATAAACATTGAACAAGCAAGATTAAATAAATATGAACCAACAACGTGTTCCACAAATGTGTGACAATTAAGGCATTCTATGATTCGCGTGACACTTTTAATCGTTTTCAGTGACAATTGTCGCTAGCGACGACCGTCACTGTAATATAGCAAGGTGCCAAATATGGAGCTGTTCAATTTAGTGCCTCTACCACGAGTTTACCGGAATAGTTGTCTATAAATTACTTCACAATTTTGTTTCGTAAATTATACAGCGCCCCAAGCGATCACTAGAAGGAACAACATTTTGTATACAAACATTTTGCGCGATCGCGAGCAATAATTGTCACTGTAATCTCTTAATAAGATGCACTAATGCACGTAAAAGGCGCTCGCTATCGAGCGCGTTTATAACACAACTTTTTTATTTTAAGTATTTTTAATCTATAAAAAAATTTAAAAGTTCGTTACCTGTTGAGCATATGTTCGGTGGGCAGGCCCTGCGTCTGACTGATGTATCGGATCTGGTCATACTCTGAGGAGCCAGGGTAGAGCGGCCAGCCCAGGAAAAGCTCTGCCACTACGCACCCCAGAGACCACATGTCGATTGCCTCGCAGAACGCTAGGCCAAGGATTATCTCTGGTGCTCTGCAAATGTAACACAAGAAACCTGTGAGTGATTGTTACTCGATGACTAAGATGTCATGACTCATAATAGTATATCGTGTAATAAGGACGGTAAATAAGAAAATACTAACGTCTATTAGAAGCCCGAAGCCGAAGGCTGGGGGCTTTAATAACTTGAGTTTTGTATTTTTTACCATCCTTGATACATACAATGTTTTTCATCACATTTGTGAGGAAATAAATACAATGTTTATTTCTTGTACGAATAAAATAATTATGGATTTTGCAAATGGCGGGTATTTTGTTTTTTTACTAACAGATGGTCATAAATACTTTTTTTGTTCCATTCGTCCAAAAAGGACAGACATACTGCCTCGTCTACAGCGGTGAGATGGCCATAGATAATAATACATCTCGAACTAAAATGTTGTAAAAAGCAAAGACGAAGACAAGTGTGATGAAAAATACATAGATGACTGCTATAATAATAATAATAATAACGCACACACTCAACATAGCCCCGCACTAGGGAAACCCTGTGTCGCGGGTGCCATGGACACACACATAGACAATCACAAATTACACCCAAACTCACGAGAGAAATAAATGTAGGTCATACAAATATTTCTCCCGGCCCGGGAATCGAACCTGGGACCTCTGCGTGGCAGTCCGGCATGGTAACCGTTCGGCCACAGAGGCAGTTAACTGCTGACTTTTTATTATTATTATTGTATGTTTACTTTATTATTGCGTACTTGTAAGGCAGTGTTTTCGTCAATGTATGCAGGTACATGTCTAATAAGGAAAGCCAGACAATAATACCAATAACATCAATTCAAACTGACATTTTTTCTGTATATTATACACTAGTAACAAAACAACCGAAGTTATTCATCTAAATTTAGTTAATAAACTTCGTCGTGTCGGACAACTACACCAATTACCTGGTATCAAACTAGGAATTTCCCTTTACTAAAAGTACCAGAGTAATAACAAAATTAACACCCAAACGTGGGAGTCTACTCTCGTTCTACGGCTGACATCCACCCCGAAACAATTACTGTCAAATAAGTAATACTCGACCACAATTAAAATACAAAGTCAAGTATGAAGAGCTTCATTCGCATTATGCGTCTTTTAATGTGGTCGGCTGTTACTACTAGACCTTCCTACTCACCACACATCAAGGTACCCAAACAAGTTAATACTTCCCCATTCCCATCTCAAAATGCACGTAGATGACCCAATTGTCATGTCCGTTAAAATATATAACAAATTACCAAGAGAAATTCAAAACATAAGGAGTGATAATAAATTTACATCCGAGATGAAACAAATTCTTCTGTCTAAATGCTACTACACTATAGATGAGTACTTAAGTGATAAATATGTAATGAAATTATAGTTATTTCATTTCATTTTTATTAATATTACTATGATTGTTTTATATATATTATTTTTTACTATTACTATTATTATTATTTATATTATTTGATATTTTAAATAAACTAGTCATGTTGACTACAGGATTACTATAATTTTTTTATAGAATTTTGTTATTCAGTGCATTTATGTTATACAATTCCTACAGCTTAAATCATTTTTACAATTAAAAAAAAATTACAATTTTTACTATTTCAAAAGGAAATATATCAACATAGCGTCCTCCTCTCTACTAAAATCTCTATTAAAATTGCTGTGCCCAACAAGGTCCACAATTGGTTCTCAAAGTTACAAGTTTTCATCTTTGTATTTTTACATTGTAGAATGCAATAAAATTACTGATTACTTATTTCACAGTACTTGTTTCGGAAGGAGATCGAGAGTACAGGGCCTGAGCCAATTTCAAAAAATTCATATCCGGAATTGGTACTACCGAACGAACCCAAGACTTAATCTAACGCCCACAGCGCTGTTGTTGCATCAAGATCGTCATATCAATCATCGATTACAATCGGGTTCAATGACCTGTAGTTTCAAAAATACAGTGGGTACGGTAGTGCCTGACGAAGAAAACCAGTACCTGTAGTATCTGCTCTGCAGGTAAGTGTTGCAGACGGCCTTGCTGACGTGAGACGCGGAGCCAAAGTCGATAACCTTGACGCGGTATGGCTGCCGCGCAGGCTCCACCAGCATTATGTTCTCCGGCTTCAGGTCCGCGTGAATCAGGCCCAATTGCTATAATCACGTGTTCATTACATTAAATACTTCTGTTATATCTAAGAAAAATATACACACTAATACATTTAGCGGAACACAAGTAAAATCCCTTAATAAAGCAGTATATTTTTAAATTTGGCTAGTTACTTTTTGCTTCATTTGTCTTAATTTACAACTAATACAGGTTTGTCGAGTGGTTCGAGATTGGTTTGACGTTCTCGTAAATTCCGTAAACACTTGACATTTTTTTTTTTTTTTTCATTTGGTAGACCGGCTTGCTCGCCGATATCCCTACTAGTCGAGAGACCAATCGATGTACTTAAGTAGGAACAATACGAGCAAAGAACGTAGTCAGTAAGCATTTGAACAAGTGTTTGTTCCTATCCTGAGGAGAGTAAGATCGTGATCCTGAACAAATATAATCCCCTGCTCTTGAGTCTGACTATCAACACCTTTGGTCCTACTTTGATTTAATCAATGCTAAACTGTTGGATTTTTTTAATATTCAAACGTTTCTGCTTTGTCATAAATTTTGATTAATTTCGATATTTTTCTATAAAAAATGATATACCGTTATTAAAAGATTTTAATTTAAATGCTCCTTTATGTTTAATTCTTATTTCTTTAAATATAAACGTTACTATTTGATATTCTCACTGTTTTGTGCCGTTAAATATGTGTGTGTATTAGTGTTAAGTTATTTATAAACTGGCCACTAAAGGAAAATAACTCATAATCTAAGACACATTAATTTAACAACAATAACAAAATACGTAGTGTCAATGTGCCTGGCCATATATAAGGCGTACTTTATACATATTAAAGGTACACGAACATGCATTAAAAATAATAAATAACCTAAACTAGGCATAATACATTTTTGTTTTAAATTAAATAAACATGTTTAATATAATAATATATGTAATATAAATACATTATATTTACAAAACATAATAAAAAAATGCAATAACGTTAAAAATGTAATCAAAGGAATAGAAGTTCATACGTATATAAGTTATAGATGTTTAAATCCAGTAAAACCATTTTTTCTGTACAGTTCTTTGTTCACATGATAATTTTAAAGAAATCATATACAGGGCGTCTCACGGCTATGCCACATGGAGGGAAAGTACGTTAAATACTGATAGAAAATTTTACAGCAAGAACTCTTCACTTTGATTTTAAAAACAATTCGAACTGTATTCAAAGATTTTTACATAATCGTATAATTACAGATAATCAGAATAATAAAATTACTGGTGTTTTTTTTACATTTGGCGATTCTTGAAAAACACACGGTTCATACAGGCGAATATTTAAAAATATTTGAATGCCGTTTGAATTGTATTTAAAATCAAAATGAATTCTTCTTTCAGTAAAATTTTCTGTCTATGGTATTTAAGTACTTTCCCTCTGTGTGGCATAGCAGTGGAGCGCCCTGTGTGTAATACGTCAAGAATATATAATAATATATCCAAGAATTCACAGCAGGGTTTTTCTCTCTCTGACCGTTACACTGTTTTTATGGCGAGTGATAATTTATTTCGGTGTTGGTATTTATAACTAGCCTACTTTTGACATTTTGTAGCAAATTGCAATACTGACCTTAAGTTTAAGCAGTGCCGTAAGCACTTGCTGCAAAATGGGCCTGATGTACTTGAGCGGCAGTGGGGAGAATTTATTCTGCTTGAGGAAGTCGTAGAGGTTCTGCTCGAGCATCTCGAAGACCAGGCATGTGTGCGAGCGGTGCTGGAAGCACTCGTACGCGCGGACGAAGTTGAACTCGTCAGCTGACTCTTGCGAGAGTCGGGATAGGATTGACACCTGGAATAAAATATGAGATAGGTAAATAAAAATGGGTTATATCATAACATCCACTACTAATTCTCAAACCAAGGAAATTTCATTTATTAATTACCAGTCACAGTAGAGCTCCTTGTGAAGGAGTTCGTCTAGGAAAGTACTGCCACCTTATCTATTTTTCCCGCCAAGCAGTAATGTGACCATGCTGGTGAAATTACAGGCACATGGGACTTGTCAATTTATGACTCGGGGTGAAAGACGCAATGACAGTGAGCCCGTCACCCTTTGTCACATCTTTGCGATTAAAGATCTGAGTGGCACTGCTGGATAGTAGACTACACAACTGTTATGGACAGGCGTGTAGCCTACCACCAGGAATACGACTTGTTCGTTCTGTCACTTGATATAAAAAAAAAAACCGGACTAGAACCGTTTTAGAGTTGATTTCTTCATTTAACTTACCGGGACTCTATACTAAGGCAACCGAATTGAGACTTCATTCTCAATTTAGATTAATTTATGAAATTAATTGCACTATCTATCATTCATATAATTTTATAACTTAAACTAAAGCTTAAATGGTATTGCAATAATTCATCAGCAATGTATTATGCACAGAAGCCAAAAAACTATTTCTGAGTACATTTCAGGTTAGTTTTCTCTACCTAATTTCGGTGGCAATTTTTATTATTTAAATATTCGAGTAAATTATCGAGAAAAATTAAATAATATTTCAAGTTACTCACTCGAACATTAAATAATACTTCATGATAATTTTCTACAATATTTAGATAATAAAAATTTGCCACCGGAATTAGGTAGAGAAAACTAACCTGAAAATTGCCCTTCTCTAAATAGTAAGGCAACTAATGCAGTTGTATCATGAATTGTTTCATCTAGTTAAGATTATATTTTTTTAAAGAATAACATATATTCACCTTTATATTCAGGACCGTACCCAATAATTTTAATCTTAAGCATAAAATTGAGCGTGCTGTTGATTGTATATTAGAAAGCAGGAAAACAAATTGGTTCACAAGTTAGGCGGTCGTTATACAGTTATATCAAAAGCCAGTATACTTTATTAACAAAGATTTATAACGTCGAAAATATTTTAAAGTAGAATACTAATTGCTATAGGAGAAATCTCGCAGTTTTAGTTATCGTTATTGCCTAAATGTTGTATAAATGTGAGTGAGACAAACAAATATTTCTACGAATTTATAAGTGGAAGTTACAAAATGGCGGCAAATACAATATGGCGGACGCTAAAACAGCACGTATATCACACGCAGGGGATCACATAAAAATAAATATTTTATATGCCCAAATTGTAATTGCATTCTTTCAGAAAGTAATGTATTTAAATAAAACACTTAAATAATTTTGTATTTAAAATTTAAGGTAAACATTTAATAAAATTTAACAACACTTGTATTTGTAATAAACAAACACGATGCAAATATTCTTTCAATAAATAATCTTATTTCTGTTATTCCAACGTCCACATAATTTATGAGTTTACGTAAACAATTAATGTATACAAGAGTTTAGTTTACTAATTTAAGTTTCATTCCTTTTATTAGAAGCATTTTCCTTTTTCATCGCTGCATTATGAAACCTCGATTATAATTCGGTTTGCACTATATTCCCATAAAGCCAACCACTGAGTCACATAGGATATCCTCAATTCTATTCCCTAGAACCAATTTAGGAACTCAACTTCTCTTTCAATCGAGTAACAGAGTCCTTTATAAAAGAGTTCGGCCAGTGAAGTACTGTCACCATTCCTATTTCTATTGCCATGCAGTAATGTGAGCATTGCTGCGTTCCGATTTCAAAGAGTAAGTAAGGGGCTGGCAAAATTACAGGCAATTGTTAACTTTATGTCACAGGGTGACGGGGGCCGTGGCAATGCCCCTTGTTGGCAACTTGGATGGTGTTATTCTTCACTGTATCACAATGATACAGCGAAGAATAACACGATTTTGGCCATTGTTTTCAAAATTATAGTTATATTTTAACCGACTTCAAAAAAAGGAGGAGGTTCTTAATTCCACTGTATTTTTTTTTGTAAGTATGTTACGCGATCACCCCAGTATTTGTGAACCGATTTCGAGGATTCTTTTTTTGTTAGGAAAAGGGTACCTCAGTATTGGTCCCGTTTAAATTTTAAGAAAATATTCCACCTCTAAGTGTGGCCAACTAGAGGATGAATTCGGTGTCGCGAACTTTTCGGTAACCGATTTCAATAGAACTATGGAAAATAGATGCAATTTCACGAACTTTTGAGGTCGGTTTTTTTTACAAAAAGTCGATTTGGTTAAATGAAATTTAAATTTCGTTGTCATTTTCAAATTTTTTACAGTGAAGTGTGTGTTTCACCGTAGGCGCGATATTATCTACAGTCACGTTCAGTGTGTTACCTATTTATTCGTATCAATTATATTTGACTGTACGTTTCATAATTACAAAAAAGTGAGTTATATAACAAAGAAAAACAGCAAAAATTTTAACATCCTCAACATCTCTGTTATGGGTGGACGTGTCGCATACCACTACAAATATGACTTGTCCGTGCCGTCACTTGGTGATTCAAGCCTATTACTCTGTACTATAATCCATAATATTGGTTGGTTGGATATAATATCTATAATACTGGTTGATGTGCTTATCTGGCACATTACTACGTATCGTTTCAGATTTTTCGCTGATGGGTCAAAACGTATATTTTGCCTTGATAAATTCGAAATAATTTAAAGACATATTCGGACGTTGATCGTGAATCGGGGTCACACGTGGGATAACAGATATGTCGCAGTTTCTTCGGTCTTCAAAGAATTGTATATAGAGTTGAGAGGCAGCTCTCCAGTGGACAAACATAAACAGTATGCTTGTGTGGCCAGGAGAAATGCGGTGGATGACTAGTTCACACAAACAACCATGATTAATAGAACAGATGATTAGTAGAATTTTGTCTTGCGGAAAGCGTGCAGTTAGTAAACTAGTTGCGGCCCAATCGTGTCTACGTCCGTCTCTTATTTTGTTAACTTTTTGTGTTGTTTATAATACTTAATCAAATATATATAACAATTTTGTTTCTTATCGCACAGACCTTGGACCTTGCTGTCGATTGTGTAGTTCCAATTGCCATGGTTCATTCAGGTATTTAACCGTAGTGGCACGCAGTGGGGTTGCAGTTCATGTGACGAGGCACTTAAATGCCTATGTGGTACCTACGATGCCTAATTTCGGTTCGTGTCATGACCGTACGTTCAATTTGTAAACCTAAAACGCACGCTCTCCGCCAAAATCCTGGCCCCATATTAACTGGACAGATGCCAGCGACTATAATGGATCGAGGAAGCGAAATTTCGCCGGAGATAGCCGCGCTAATAAACGGCGGTAATAAGCAACTGGACCTCACTATGCTAACTTATACAGGTTGTGTTTTTTTTTTACTTTCACTATATTGTAGTTTGATATTCCGTACAAGTTTTTGAAGCTGATGTTTTTTTCTACGGTTACATAGTTGTTCCTTTATATGGGTAGGATCACCTCCTAAAATATGATGAAATAAAAAATGTCAACCTGTATACTCGTTTTCCTGCCTTGGTCTATATCGTTTGTAACTATGAATAACATCATACACACCACACATCGTAACACCAAAGTGCTAATTGTGACTTCACAGTGACAACTGTGATTAGCGATCGCGTAATATACTCTTTTGTATGGCAAACTGATCAGCGAAGTAAATTTTGTATACAAGAAATTTACGTGACAAAAATGTCACTGTAAATTCATGGTAGAAACAATGTATGGCCTGGGATAACTAAAAGCTTACTGGCGCTATAACTATTACAAACGGAGGTATCGTGTACTTTTTGTTTTAAGGTTACAGAAAATCTCACAAATATTTTGTTGTTGATTAGACACATTCAATAAGTTTAAACATCTATGAAAGTTTTTTAAAAGCGCCTTAATTCCTTATTGACAATGCTTCGAAAAGTTATGTTATAAGCATACCTCAATCTGTCCCTGGCGAGCATAGCTGGGATGGTTCTTGAGGATCTTGATGGCGACTATCTCGTTGGTGCCCTTCTTCCAGCACTTCACCACCTGTCCGAAGGTGCCGCGCCCGAGGAACTCCAACACCTCGTACCTGGGAAGTATCAATATACAATATTAACCTCCTGAAAAATAATTTTGCAGGCTTTTTCTCAAAATGCTGTTTTTGTTGTTACAGTATTATTGGTTTGACAGAGTAGTGCTATAAAACTGCAACTGCTGGTAAAGTTTCAAATGCAAATTAATTAATTACATTTACTTTTCATCTGAAACTTACGTACTGGGTGGTTAGTTTTTGTCCAATAGTCAATGCTAGCGCAACCTTTGGCGATTTGGTGATACTGACCGGTTGGACGAGGAGTAGAGGACCTCATGCTGCACCAGCTGGTAATCGCCGTCGCCGCCGCATCCGGAGCCTGTTGTGTTGTCATTGTGTCGTGCGTAGCGTCGAGGGTCGCCGCCGCAGCCGCATGTACACACATTCGATACCGACATATTAGCTACGCATACCGTTGTAAACTTATAATTAATTTTAATTTAGAATGTAATAAGAAGCCAGTGTAAATATGTAAGGCGTTCCTATTTGGGTTGCGACAGAATATAGTCAGCATCGTAAATAATCTGAACAAACGTCTAAAACCAAGTAAAAATGATAGGAGATGTGGTAATGCCCCGGTAGCCTTATGTATTGACCTACCGTCTCTCACAGACACCGTGGATTCGAATCTGGGTTCGCACCTCTGAGTTTCTCGGAATCCGGTGAAGGAAAACATCGTTAACTATGACCTGCCGTCTTCGCCGGAGAGGAAACCCGTGCCTAGCAGTGGGTCATATAAATGGGCTGATGACGAGTTGATGTGGAGCATAACGATTTTCTCCAACTCTTGATTTATGAGTAAAACAAGTTCCTTTTTTTCTGGCAACAAACGGTCATACGTGGAATAGAAGTTATTTACATATATTCCTCTTAATACAGACCTGTAGCGTCAACAATGTAATAATTATAATAAATAAGACGACTATGACGTAGTATTTTGTCGAAGTATTTTGTCATAGGGATGAGGTAAAGTCGATGTTTAGTGTATTTCATTTTTGAAGTTTCTATTATAAAGCCAAGTTTGATTAAGTGTTACGGATATCCAAAGCTCAACAATTTTTCAAAATAAAGAACGCCCTTGATTTGTTAATATTCCGATGATATTTATTTTATCTCTCTGATATCCTATACTTATTTTGTATGGAGTAGGTATGTAACTGCCACACGACTGCGTAACTAACACGGGGGTGATGACCCTATAGATTAATTTTACTATAAAATTTTACAAGTTCAGCGGTAACTTAATTATAAAGATAGAGTTTAACTTTATTAAATGCCATTTACAATTTGTAATGGAAATGTAAAAAAAAGATTTTCCCTGGCGGGTAATTTTACCATATCAACATGTTTGATCAAGAACTTATTTTTTACAATGTAAGCCTACAGTGTTATCGTCTACAATTTTCGGAAGGCCTTACATAAAAATACATTCATATAAAAAATGGGATTACAGCAATATTTCTTAAGCAACAAGAGGGACATCTGGAGCCAAAAGTAATTAACATAATCATTAAGTAATAACAGCAAGGAACTTTTTAGTATATAAATAAAAAAAAATTGATTCCATATCAATGCACAATAAAATATTGCACCACATACATGAATGTATAACTTAACAGATTTTTGTAATTTTGAAGTTTTATTACTTGTCACGATTTTTAACCATTATATTCAATTATTTTTGTGAAATTACTCCATTAGTTGGTAGTAATTATTAATACAAAGATCGAACACTAAGAAAAAATTCCTAACTAAGCCACGGAACGAACTAGCGGACCTCACGAATTTTTCCATGTGCTTGTAGCAGATCTTTCGTTTTTGGCTTTTAACGACTTTACTAAACAGCCTGGTACTTAACAGGTTCTTTCTTTTAACTTGATCACATGTTCGAGCTTCATTAGCTAGCACGAGCGTCACGTAGCTATAAACTGTATTACTTTTGGCTCCTATAGAGTAAAATCTAAGTGCATCATGGAGGGGGTAGTGCATAAAGTTGAAACAAACTACGGGTTGGGACAACAGCTTGTTACCTCCCATGGATTGTTCATTATTTATACAAACTCCGTTATGTGCCCATCTGATGCACCTACATAGACTCTTTTTTAGATTTTTTTTAGATATAGGTGCAGGGCTTGTTTGTTTAGTAAGACAGAGTAGTGTGTCTAATGTGTATCGTGTTATTGAAAAATGTGTACGGGTGAATAGAATGAGACGTCTAAATTTGTGTAAAGCTTCTACTCTTGATTTATAAGTTAAAGGTTAAATTTAGAATTTTTGGTTAAAAACTTGTTCGTAATATTAATGAAAAAATAACTGTACCATGAGGTGTCTGTGTTATCTAGTCGTTAAGTAGTTTCATGAGCGTGTTTAATGTGAAATGTATAATAAGGAGGTAACAACAATTGGGACATTACGTTTGTGGTTACCTTGCGGCTGGGGCGGGTGGTTGGCCCCGCCCGCCGCCTGCTTGCCGTGCGCCGTCGTCGTGGCTTGCGGCGCCGTCCTGTGCCGCGCGGCGCTGCCGCCTCTGCCGCCGTTTGCCGCTGCTGCTGCCGCACCGCTATCGATAATACGTCGCTCGCTATCTCCGACACTGCAACAAGCAACATCGCAATTACAGTCATCTCATTACTGAGTTTTTACGTCTAAGCAGCCCCTTAAAAGGGCTCAATGAACTATTCTATTTCTAAGTACTTTCTTAGTCATCGCCAAAGGAAGTTCGGGGAATACATTACCTCAATCGTTATCGACCTAAGTTGAATGCAGTTATTCTAATTTAAATGAGTCATGGTATTTTGTTATTGTTTCTTAGCGTAGCATTTTTTAAATTTAGAATGCATAAGAGATAAAGTTGATGTCATAGGCGCACTACAAAAATCATATCAGATCACTGGATAAGGTCATAGTTCAATAACTTTTTTATAAAAAACAAAAGAACCGACCTCAAAAGTTCGTGGAATTACATCTATTTGCCAAATTTTATTGAAATCGGTTACGTGCGCGAAACCGGATTATCCCCTAGTTTGCCACACTTAGAGGTGGAATTTTTTCTTCAAATTTAGGTACATGGGACCGATTCTGAGGTACCCTATTTGCAACAAAAAAAAAATCGTCAAAATCGGTTCATAGATTAGTTATCGCGTAATATACATGCAAGAAAATACAATTGAATTGAAAACCTCCGTTTTTTGAAGTCGGTTAAAAAGAACACAACATTAATATTAACTTTATGGCACTTTATAAGAACGGTTATAAAACCCAAAGCCGCTAAAGTGAAAAACGAAGATCTGAAAAGAACACACATACAGAGAACACACATACAGAGAAATTCATAGATTCGCTCAGTTGGGAAAGAGACAGTCCCGGTTTGGCGAAAAAAGTCGCTGGTTCGTGCCCAACTATATCGAAGGTATTTTCCATTGTGTTTGTTTTTCATATTTGTATCAATATTAAAATCCAAATGGCTATTGCCTGGATGTCAAGTCAACTAAAGTGAAGAATTATATATTATATATGTTATATAACGATCCTAAGGTGGTGACGCTAATATTGACTTCAGACATCAATGTTCGTTTTACCAATAAATTATAGTAATTCTTTAAAATATCACAACGCGTCGAGTGACTAAACATATCATGCAAATATACGTAAAGAAGTTCACTAAGAGAGGTTTAAGACTACACAGCAAAGAAATTACTTTAAAATTGCACCAAAAATTAATTTCAAAAATCGCTGTGTTTAATGGTTGGTAAAGAAATCTGTATTTTCGAGCGACCCCTCTTTAAAAACGCCAAGCCTGGGGCAGGCCTGGGGCACCTGCACTATTATTATTGCACAAAAAACAGGGCTACAGAGAAATGTTCATATTTGTGTGATTTTTGAAAGTAAAAATGTTATAAAAATTAGTATAACGAGAAACTTTATATTTTGTACCTACACATAAGTTGTAAGCTTAGTTTATAAATGAACTCACATACAATATAATAGTATATATAATCATATACTCATATATTCATATGCTATTGTATATTTTTTTGTTTCAAGAATTTGAAAAGATTTTAAAAGCATTTATTACCTATATACACCTATTCATTAACCTTCAATAAAAATAAAATCAAAAATTACTTTATACGAGTACTAAATCCTTGCAAAAGTAAAAGGCGTTATTGACAATTTAGTGCCTGGAAAATAAAAAAGAAAAAATGTGTCAATAAGATAGAATTTTCAAAATACAGGCAATGAAGTTTCGATACCGCTACCGCTAACAGAAAAAAAATAACACTTTGTAAATTTTATAGTATATAATGGCCACTATCAGTCCTTAATCCTAGATATAAACCTAGAGACGCATTGATAAAACCTTTATTTTGCAATATTTTTATCTGTATAAAAGCAGTATTAACAGCCAAATTAAAGGAAATTCAATATGAACACAAGTCCACATTGAATCAAAATTTAATGGGACTAATGGTACAGTTTCTAAAGGGTTCTATAAATCGCAAATTAATAACGACCCATTTGCAAATTCCATTATACTCCCCTAAATATATTTGAAGATAAAAGTCTTTATGACCGGCGTTTCCTAGAGACCAAAGGGAACATTTCAGCAATTATTTACAAATTCATTTATATGTTGTTCATAACGATTGATGGAAAAACTTACACCGCAAATAAATCCTCATATTCGGCTTCAAAATCGTCCTCATGTTCGAATTTGAGCCTAGGAATGGAGAGATCCATAATTCACCATCACTTCACTATTTACACTAAAATTAATAAAACAACTACACTCTACTAAGTAATAACATATTATGTCATAAAGATTCAATAATTTTTAAATAGAAAAACTTTACAAAATTTAAAAACGGAAATGACGCTGACGTGCGTACGCGCATCGTCGAGGGTGAGGGACTGAGAATGAATACGTAGGGTGTCAAGGGAGGGGGGTACCCCAGGTAGTAAGGGCTAAAAGGGTCGCACAAATTCCCAAATTCCCGGTATTGTGCGTCGAATAATTGAATGGGGAACGACCCTGCGTAGTCGCACGTATAGTAACTCTGGGAACCAACTAGCGCACTCATTGTATGTACTGTGTTTGCTTGTTTTATATTAGATGTTGATGATATGGAATTCCAGCGGTCATGTTGATGCGCGATGAAAATGATAATACAGAAGAAACAGACAGACAAACGTGTTTCTAAAATATTGTAGCGTGTTGTAGACTAAACAAAAGACATTTACAATTTGGGGTTATTAGACAAGGCTAGAGTGAATAGACATTTTTTTAGATAAACGCGTGCCAGCGTTGGTCACATCGTTGCCTAATATCATGTGATACTATGGCCAAGAGTGTGTCTATTTTATAATGAAAGAAAAATCGAATATTCATTGGTTATCTCTTTTATGTTTTTTTGCTCCAGTACGATGAAGCCGTAATGGAAATTATTTTAGCAAATGTTTTGACATTTTTGTAATGTACGCCATCGATTGTCATATCACGATCGCAATAGTGTTGTAAATATAAGATGTCCTCTTATTTATCTTCAGATATTCATATCGGAATGTTGATTCGTAGAAATTTAGTTCGCCAAAACGAAAACGCTGCGAACGATAAAATTGTTATGGAAAAATTTAAATAATTTAGACGCAAAAACACGTGCCGCCATGTCACCGTATTGTGACGTCATACGTGTAGTAAACAAACAAGCGCCAGTATCATTCATCGTATAAATAAAATGACGAGTTCTTTTCAATACATGTGGTATCTGTGTAATTATTTTTATCTATAGTATCAAGTGACGGGTGGAACAAGTTGTGCGCCTGATGGTACCTAAGCGATACGGCTACCCATAGCAGTTGCAGTTGCCACTTAAGAGGTTTAAACCGCATCCAACTGAGGGGTACTGCACCCGTCACTCTGAGACGTAAAGTTGACAAGTCCCACATGCCTTAGTAGCAGTAGAGCTCCTTGTGAAAGAGTTCGTCCGGGGAAGTACTGCCACCTTAGCTATTTCTGCCGAAAAGCAGTGAGCATCACTGTGTTCCGGTTTTGAAGGGTGAGGGTGCTGGTGTAATTACAGGCACATGGGACTCATCAGGGCACAGTGGCAGTGCCCCTCAGATCTTTGCGATTTAAAGCTCTGAGTGGCACTGCCAATTGTTATGGATATGCGTGTCGCATACCACCAAGTGCACGACTTGTTCGTTCCGTCAATTGGTAGTATAAAAATATTAAACTGTTAATCTATGTTATTGATAAAGTACGAAGGCTGCCCTATTATGGGTACTTACTAAAATTTTTAAACCTAATTTCAGGCAACCTTTGCTACATTGATTCAATTTCGGCCGAGGATCGCACCAGGGACTTCAGAGACGTCTACACCATGAAAACCGGTGCGCAAGGATGTGTCGACGTCGATGTCATCGCGATGACCCAGTTATTAGAGCTTGATAAAAAGGTCTCGGGTTTGATTCCCCATAAGAAATTCAATTGTAAGAAATTCAAATATGTGTGTGTCCATGGCACCCCCGACACAGGGTTTCCCTAGCGCGGGGCTATGATGAGTGTGTACGTTATTATTTTAATTGTTCTGAATTGGGTCTAGGTGTGCTCTGCCTTTGGGGTTGCTCTATGACTCATAGTGCATGGGAATTCCCTAATTTGAGACCCGGTTATTGGTAAGATTATCACATTATCATTATGTGGTCGCAAACTAGATTTGATATCAGAATTATATATCATTTTGAATTAGCATAATAATGTCGCTATCATGACGTCATCACCCTATTGTTACTTACTACTATTATGATAATTACAATTAAATATGCATTCGGTCTCTACGTCTCTTTATGGCACAGGTACTCACTTAAATACATAATATTATACTTCAATGTTTTTAACATATGAAAAAATATTGTTATAAAAATATTACAATTTTGTTTTGATTTATTGCCTTTTACTTTTATTAACTCCGAGATATCGGAGGGAGATATTACCAACTCTACATGTATCTACATATACATATATAGTGTACTAGAAATAACATTTGAAGACAGAACACTAGTGTTCCTTCCGTCGCTTGATGTCATTAATTAATTAAATAAATTCAGGGTATTTTCATCATAAACGCTGTAACAAGCAGTCCCAGATGAATCTGCCTTACGAATGAGTAGCAGTGTTCAATCAATTTGACGGTTACAAAGCGTGATTCGCTTGACTATGAAATAAAAGATATTTCGAAGCTAAAACTGTAAGTTAAAGTGATTCTTACGGCTCTATACACCCTCAAATGGCTTTGATTGATTCCGCAAAACAGTGAAAATGTTGAATCAATAACTTTGGAAAAAATATATAGTTGAGGATGTACACTGATCACTATACGGTGTGAAAACACGACTCCTAAAAATTTTCACGTTGAGTAAAAACACAAACTTACCTCGAAATTGTACAAGACAACCGCTGTATTCAATAGGTACTTTACATAAAGTATATCAATGATTTTCTTTTATATCAACTGAACTAAATACAACACGTATACTATATGATATACGTTTTTCAAATGGCTTTAATGTCCTTTGTAAAAAAAAAAAAATTGAAATAAAGTCGTGTCCCTGCCGCATGTTCGACCCAAGCAAAATGAACCGGAAGGGTACAGGAAAAATTGGAATTCGAGCTGAGGTAGTGTAGACTTTTAACACAGTAACATTTTATTTAATATACTGCGTTACAGGAATGTTTACGTTCTAAAGTTGTTCAAGTTTAAAATAGCCACACTTTGCGTGTCATATTGAAGTATGTTCTAAAATCATAAGCGGAGCGATTAGGAAAATAAAATATCAACCCATTTTAAAGTATTCGATATTATAATTACTTCAAATTGTCCCATTCCAATTAGTGAAGTACAATTCAATGATAATAATAATGTGCCAGACAACCACACCAATTGCCTCGCCTGACACTAGAAAATACCCTGTATTATGAGTACCAGAGCAAAAGAATTCACTGTGGGGCACTTCCCAGCAAACTCAAGAGCAAAACCAATTTAGAAACGATAATTTCCCAAAATGGTCCTACTGGGAATCGAACCCGGGACCTTCTCATCCAGCTCCCACAATGCAGCCGCTGAGAAACTGAGGTTGTCGAAATAATACTGCCGCCTTTAGTAGAAAGGGACAAAAACTCAAAAACCGAGAAAATAATGTTTAAAAAACTGAAATTAAAGAAGTCTACTTTCGTCGTAAGGTAACTTCATACCTTATTGACCTAGGAAAAAATAACTAGTGACAGATCGGCCTTCTTTTGCAGTAGGGAAAGCACGATAGGGCGCGACTTGCGCGAGAGTGACATAAAGCGCGAGATCCCTATGCGAGAATAGCTGTATCTCGCGCTTTATGTCGCACTCGCGTAAGTCGCGCCCGTTCGTGCTAGGCCTACTAATCACGGCAGTACACATAACATTTTTTCTGAAAAAATGTCACACGCGCCCTTTGAACTAACGGCGGCAGTACACTATATTTAAAGTACCGGTAATTCAGTCGTTAGGGTAATTTCTATTGATATATTTAATGATTCTACTAACTATAATAATAAGCAAAAGATCGACTAGTTATCGCAAAATGGATAATGGCTTTTACTCATTTAAGTAATTAAACTTTACTTCATGTTAGCTCAACGGTGCTTGAAGAGATTTATGTATTGGCGTTTCATGTACAGATATGTATTGGCGTTTAGCAAATATGTTTTTAAAAAGAGATTTTAATTGATAATACAATATAATTTTTATTGAGCACTATTGCCAGACTGAGCGTGTAACCCATATACGACGTCACTATATCCAGGTCTATAATAATAATAAACTAGATTATTTATCATATGAAAGGCAAACAATAATACGAACTACAGTTAACTTGTGGTTTGGTAACTGAAGTTCGTATTATTTGTATGCCTTTCATATGAAAAGCACTTTGAAGTATGATCACATGTGGCTTTATTGTATAAAGGGTACGAATTGTGCTTCATACATAATTCTAAAAATTCACACTAGGTAGCTTTACATACGGATTGACAAAATACACACATCAAAAGTGACTAGGGTTCAAGCATGTTTTTGCTAATTACTGAAAATCAGGTTTTGATGATTTTTTTACAACCAATTGATTTTCTTTTTGTTAATTTCATTTTCAAATTCAAATTATAAAACTGTCCAAAAAAAATCCAGTGTTAAAAAAATTATTGAAAGTTGTGATTTTCAGTAATTGGCAAAAACGTGCTTGATACCTTGACACTTTTGATGTGTGTGTAGATTAATAGTTGATACTAACGTAGCGTCGCGGCAGCAGGGTCTGGTGCAAAGCACGGGTGGAGCGGGAGGCGGCGCGGGCGCGGGCGGCGGGGACCGCTCCGCATCGCACGCGCGACTCGGCACGGCGGGCGCGGTGCAGCAGCCCGGCCCGACGCCTGACCAGCACTTGTTCTGTAATACACCAAAATAAGCGGTCTTTATTTTCAAATTTATTTTCAAGTCACAATTTAATTACGTCAGCTTGTTGAGTATAAGATTTTTTAATGGCCGTCAGTGTTTCACTCCGCCCTCCTTGTCATAAACAACGCATTTCTGTCGCCGTTAGTCGAAAAGGCGCTTGTAACAATAACTCAAAACCGAGAGAAAAAATATCTACTTTTCTCCTGCTGTAACTTCATACCTTATCCACCATAAGAAAAAATAAAAATAGTGATAGACTGGCCTTTTTTACTGATCACGATTAGCATACATAAGATTTTTTTTTAATGTTACATGCGCCCTTTCCACTAATGGCAGCAGGTTTGCCTTTTGGTAACTTTATGGATAATGGCACATAGTTTAAAAAAAATAAAATTAAATGATTAAAAAAAACGCTTGTAGAGCTTATTGTTTATGATAAGGCACGACAGCACTGCTAGGCAATTATTATTCATTAAGTATCTTCAACAGACACCTAAGAATCGTATCAACTGATAATAAGGCCAATACTAAACTAGATTATTGTGTAGCCTAAAGTCATTTATGACGCAGGACACACAGACAGAAAATTCCTATAGTTTACGTAAATCTACCGTCTTCAACAACTTTCAAATTCAAAGGTTATCAAAGTGCTTCCCATTAATCTAAATCATTAGAAAAACAAGTTTAAATCGGTACCGTTTATGCAAATATACCACAAGCACATTAGCAAATTGCTTATTGAAGTGTTCATAAATAGAATTAGTGTCTATAAAAGGTCTCTATTAATTACAAATTGTTCCTTGTTTCCGCCATAACAGATACAAACTTGCAATAAACATTTTGTTGAAAAAGGAATACACGACACTGAAATAAAATCGAATCGCAATATATAATATGTACTTTACGGTGGTGAAGTGTTTGGATCTGACCCTATAAGTACAACTATTGTACCAACAATTCGCACTAGTATTATGATGCCTGGCGGTAAACGACACGTCTATCTATAACATTTGCAATGCCACGCAGTGGTTTAAATCACAATGATCTGAGGGGCACTACCACTGCGCCCGTCATCCATAAGTTGACAAGACCCATGTGCCTGTAATTTCACCAGCATCCTTACCCTTCTAGACTGGAACGCATTAATGCTTCTATTACTGCTTGGCGGTGGAAATAGGAAAGGTGGCACTAATTCCCTAGACGAATCCTTTTACCGGAAGTTCTACTGCCGACCACTAACGAAAACGCGGCTAAGTGAGAAATGGTCAAATATCCGTTTTAAACAGCAAAAGATAGAGCACAAAATTCTCTTTCAAAAACAGTGAAAACTAGTTAACGCGTTCTACTTAACGGTACTTACCCTAACGATGCACATCTGGAAATATTATTAACAGTTTCGATATTGTAAGACTGGGTTATGGTTTTTTATGATAACTCGAAAAAAAATTTATCACTCAGCCCCATATTAGGTAGTGGACGGCAGTCTACTGCTGTGATAACAAAGCCCCATATGATCATACGTCAAAAGTGCTTTCTTTTATCACATGAAAGTTATCTGTTATATTTGTTGACAGCCAGCCATATTTATTTACTAATATTATGCTCCCCGAATTTTGTGCAAAAAGAAAATAAAGAAACAAAAATTTAAAATCGAAAAAAAGTTAGAAAAATAAGAAAAAAAAAATATAATTATATATAAAAGCTATCGACTGTAGACTCCATAAACTTTTAAAGAAGTCATTTTGCAGATGTGGCCTTATTACAGCAAGGGCGCGAATTGGTAACTAATTTAATGATTGATTGATTCTGTCAAGATAAGCTATAGATAAATCCATTTTTAAGCGAATTTCAATGCAAAAAATTACGAAACTACACTACCACGAACGATCTATAACCATGGCAATAAATAAAATAAGTCATAAAACGGTTTATTAAACATCACTAAATATCACGTTGTAGGCTGAATTATCGCTTATTAACTGTAAGTGTTTGTTATTAAAAAGCAAATTACGTGGGGGCCACAATGGCCAATAATTAACCAGAGGGCGATTACTAATTGAGCCATTTTCCGTGTTGAACATTTCAAACGTAGCTGCTAATAAAGCAATTATATCGAACTAAAATATGTTAATTGAGTTTCTAGGTTTTGCTGAGAAAACAGATGAAAATGTGTCTACTACAACATCTCACTGCTTTGTATTATAACCCGTGATGCCAGGACCCTTGAGTCGAAAATTACATTTCGTTACGTCGTTCGTTCGTAAAAAATAAATTTAGAAATAAAGCCAGGACCCCTGCCGCTCGAAAATGAACAGTATTATTATGGGAAAATTTTTAATTCGAGCTTAGGTAGTATCAATTCTTGAAAACAAAAGTTACTTGAATATTACGCGAGAAGGACGAAAGCTACGAAAAATGTAAGAAACGTAACCATTTGGCAACACTGATAATTACTATGTATAGAAAAGGCGTGTCTCGTTGTTCATGGGCGTGCTGCTTCCGACCCTGATATACGGTAGTGAGTGTTGGGTACGGAAGAAAACGCATGAAAGTAGGATAAACGTTTTGTTATTATATTGAAACAAGAGCTTTGCACAGTCGTGTATTGTTACCTTTCGAGACGGAATTGCGTTGTGCTATGAAAGATGATATAGTTAGAGGATGAAACAGCGAATGCTCAGAAGGTTTGGCTTGTAGGAACGATTGGTGTTAGCAGATTGATTTTTTTTTATGATTTTCAAGTGACGGGACGAACAAATCGAGTGCCTGGTGTTAAGCGACACGCCTGTCCATAGCAATTGAGTGCCACTCAGAGCTTTAAATCACAAAGCTCTAAGTGACGGGCACTGCCATTAAGCCTGTCGCCTTGAGACATAAGCTGATAAGTTCCATGTGCCCGTAATTTCACCAGCACCTACCATTTGAAGGGTAAGCCTTCAAAACCGTAACGCAGTAATGCTGACATTACTGCTTGGCGGCAGAAATAGGTAAGGTGAGCAGTACATCCCTGGACGAACTCTTTTACAAGAAACTGTAGAAGGAGTTCGATGGCGGCAGCGATTTATATATAGAGTGAATATGGATGTAAACTTCTAGGTCGATTTCGATGTACATATTTCGATCAGACTGTGAATATCTTTGAAAATGACCTGGTTCAATGGGCGTGTATGAAGAGACCGATGCGAGTTAAAGGAAGCGAAAGAAGTTTGTCGGGAGCGTAGCGAGTAGAGGATGGTCTCTGTCGACGTTATTTTAATCTGAGTATCGCAGTCTAAATAATAATTTGACTAAATTAAAAAACGAAAATTTTCAGTAAACAAAATCACCTCGTGGTGGCCTCGTGTGCATAAAAATGTACATAATTTGTGAAGTGATTCAGACCCACGTAATATTATTCCTAAGATCACATAAACGGACTGTGTACCATTAGACTAAAGTTTTTTGTTCTATAAAAGAATTCATTTTAGAATATAGTGCCTTTTAAAGCATATAATTTGTAAATATTCTATCTAAATATAATACCTAAATATATGTAAGTGTATTAGGAATGAGACTTTAATGTTATTGAATTTTATTTATTGTTGTTATTGCCTAAAATTCTACTTAGTTAAATCATAATTTATTTGTAATTTTATTTCAATAATGTAATTAGTAATTTAAGGACTTCCTGCACTCAAATTTTGCAGTGCCCCTAGGGGTGTTACATGTCATGCAACTACATTAGCTTAAGAACACCTGTTTTCTAACCACGTGACTTGCAAATAAAGAATGATGTTTTAAAATTTGTTATAAATCAAAACAAAACCTTATAACTAATTACAATACAATCTAGCCATTCTACAAGACTAAAATTATTTAAATTTAAATTTAACATAATTCCCTAAATAAAAGTAATTTATGTAAAGAAATTGTTCACCGACAAAATGTCTTTCAATATTTAGTGTTCATAGTCTAGGCATTAATATATAACACAGGCACCAATATTTATTTTAGTCACTGTAATTAAGTATACTAACTCAAAAGCTATAGTTTTTTTGGTAAAGAATATTAATACATTAGAATGAAAGCAACTTCAAATTTAGCGCTTAACATTCTATTTACAGTAAGCAAGTATACCCTTAATTTTCCATGCAAAACTAAGGGTATAGTTGTTTAGATTTGAACCGTGTAATTATAATTTGTACATTTTAATGTAGATTGTGCGTTTAACGCTTTTCCCGTTTACTGGATCTCAGGAGGATAAATTAAAAAAATACGTCCGAAATAATACTGATGTAACAGTTATTTATATGAAATAGATTTTGACATTTCGCACATGACAGCTAATTTACTTAATTAATACTATTTCTAAAATTGCGTTATATATGTATGCCATTTGTAAACATTTCAAAGCGACAAGAAACATTGTCACTTTAAATTAAGGCTAGTCACCGAAGGAGGAATGTGAAGAGCTGTTTTGCTACATCGAATGGTTGAGGTGTTTCCTACTAAACAACGGTCTTACTAAAAATATACGATACACTTAAGGATATTGTCTAAAGAATGTGCTAATGTGTTAAACGATATGATGTATTTTATCCGATCATATACAACAGGTTAAAATACAAGCCTAAAACAAATTGTTTAAGAATAAAATACCTAACTTTGTACATAATTTTTATATGGAGATATACTTATCTCTTTATGTACTACAGAGAACCTGCTAAATTGTTGGATTTCAACTGAAGCCCTATTAGTTGTTAAATTCACATTTATAACAAAATTTGCAAATTGCCCAGCGGTTTAACGCCGCTCGCTGCCCCGCCACTCGCCATCCGGCGCTTGTGAACGTCGTATCTGTGTCAAATTTTCTTTTCTTATTTTATTCATATATTAATACACAGCGCGCGGATTGCGGAAGTGAGAGGCGCCCTCACCACTAAAATCTAGGCTCACGTAGAAATTATTCGCCTTATATCGTATACGAATGACATACATGTAACGCAATTTTT